TTTCGCAACTCTCATTGCCCTCCAGGGTAATTTTAACTCTGTAAAGTGTGTCGTCTGTGTTATTGCCTTCAGTGCCAGTACCATCTACAAATGGGGAGAAAGAAATACCACATTCAGGTTGGACATTTTAAAAATAAGTTAATTAATATACAAAAGTGCAATTCTTCCGTTGAAATGAAATATGCTTTTATGAACAGTTTGTGTAATGTTTTTTTAGACTACGCCTGCAATCCAGAGGTCATGGGTTTGATTTAACCTCCTGACGTGGCAGTTGAAACATTGGGCAAGTTTATTAAGCCTCCGCACCTTTTCATCCAGCATAAATGGGTACTCCCACAGTTAATCGATCGGCGGGTCGTGGGTGGTGGGGTAAAGTGTGGGTACCCTCACCACTTTCAAGGCATCTGGCCAGTGGGGAAGAGTAGACCAACATACTCTCCAGAGGGACTCTCTGGAGCTTCCCCTAGTGCTGGCCCTTCAGCCAGCAGTGGCATGAGCAAGCAATTGCAGGGGCTGCACCTTCACATTTTACTTAGAGGTTACGCATGCAAGAAAAAACAAGCATAAGCCTACATTTTTACAAATTGTATCTCTCCGACGGAATTGTAAATAAAGGTGTTAATTAACACAGAAATTGTCATTTCATGGGAGAACACCATAACAATCATGCCATTTATATTTAATTATTGTAGCCAGCTGTTTAATACAGCACTGAAAGCATAATCTTCTGAGTTTGCAAAAGTTATTTTTGTATAACAGGCACCTTTTCTCTGAACTCTATTTTTCCTGATTTTGTAAGAAGAGTGTACAAATTGAAATTCACAAGCCAGTCAGGGCCAGACCTGCATTGAAGACTTTGCGAGCGACCCATCCGTGAGACCTTCACATTCCACTTGGACTCTCGCCGTGGATAGGACCCGACACGTAACTAATTGCCAATTTTGTTAATTTCGTCTTCTATCGATTTCCTCCACCGGAAACCCATTCAGGCTTCGTAAGTATTGATGACATGGCCATTCGTTTATTTTTTTTATTAACGGGATTGTTTTTTTTATTAGCTCTGTTTAGATACAGTTCATTTCAACAAACATACAATCTCTATCTACTTGTGAAGTTCTGTTGCGGGACATTGCTACCCAAAACCGTCGGGCGAGGATTGACAGTACTGTTCGTGACACCTTAGGTCATTTGCATCCTCAAATTAGCAAACTGGACCATTGCTTCCAGGAGAACATGTGACACGTAAATTGATGATGTGACATTTAACAATCGGTTATTGCTTTGGATTCAACACAGACTGAAACTGGGTCAGAGATTCTGAGCCCACTTAGGCTGTGGGGATGTGACCTCATAAACCTCTTAGTTGCTCTGTTGTGCTTGCCGATTAACATACAAGAGCAATGCACACTCCATGTTGCCTGGCCCTAAGATAAGAGAAATAGTGGTTAGCATACTATGCTTCAAAACCTAGTGACCCGAGTCTGGTTCCCGGGCCATGGCTAACATCGGTGGCGAGAGTTATCTGAACTGATCCCGGGACTCTCACTTTATCTATCCACACTGGCCAACGTGGCATAGGGAGACCTTTATCCAGCAGTGGATTGACAATTGGCTCGGATATTTACAATGCATGGTGTGTTAACACGTGGCGCAAATCGATGAATCGATTAAATGTTTTCTCATGGTCACGGCACACACGTTGAACGGTGCATGTTAAAATCGATTTTTGTGATTTATTAAAAACTGTATACAAAATATACACACTACATGAAAACAATTGTCGATACTTTAATTCAGGCTAATGGTTTCAACAAAAAAGTATGAGTGAGACAAAAAACGAGGAACAAAATAAACGGAAAAAAATACGAGAATAATGGATTCTTTAATTGAATTAGAACGAGGCACCACGGTGGTGAGATGTTAACTCCCTCGCCTGGTATGAAAAAGGTCGCGGGTTCATTCCCGACCCTAATACTTGTATATTTGGAGTTTGCATGTTCTCCTCGTGGTTATGTGGATGTTTCTCCAAGTCCTCCAGTTCTTCCCTCCACATTTAGAAACGACATGTGTTTGGAGTATTTGGCTGCTATAAATTCCCACATAATAAGCCACTATCATTTGTGGCCAGGTTGCTTCTGAAATGGAGCCACATAGCTCAGTGGGCCTTACCTGGTAAAATAAAAAATAGTAGTAGTAGCTTAATCGTGGCATTCGTTTGGTGCGCAAAAGTGTTATATTCCTAATGTTTTAATTGGTCAACGTTGATAGATGTGGCAAGCCTAGCAGTGGGCAGCCTGTGCATTCTGAAGTTGAAATGTTGCCGTGGGTCACTTGACTCCTCTCTCACAGCCGTTACCCATTAGCCGCTCAAGGCCACCGAGGAGGAGCGACTTTGTGATGTTGACGCATGCCTCTTAGTCTGGCAATTGTTTAAGTAGAAGAAAGGACCTGGCAGCACAAGGCCAGGTTAACGGGTACAGAGGGGTTAATGGCAAACATTTGTGTAGCATGGGCGACAAGGCTGCGCTATACCCTGATGAATGGTCCACCTAATGTGCTTCAGGCTGATTCAAGAGCAGAGCTGACTTTACTTTTTAACATTCCACTGTTTTATTTGATTTGCCTTAGTTTTTGGAGGCATTCTGTTTCATCAGCTGCATTCACAGACACTGGGGCGGGGGGAGGGAGCTCAGAGAATAGATTTGCTCGTAATATCGGCGAGTGATATTTTGAGATAAGAGCATTCCACGTTCCCGTGGGTATTCATTTTCGCATTGCTTTGGTCCTTTGCTCGGTACATCCCTGCGTGTTTTCGAGCACCGTATGTCACGTGGAGTAGAGCAGTGGAATAGTGGCTCGTGCACTGTGTTCAGTTAGATTTCCTGTCACGGCTCACATCGGTGGCGGGTGATACACAAACTGGTCGTGGGCATCCTCTTCACCAAACCCACGCTGACCAGCGCGGTGAGGTGTGGCGTGGAGAGGGTCTTTGTCCAGCAATGGATTGATAACGGGCTGTACACGATTTATTATAGCTCCAGCTTTCAGTACGACATTTGGGCCCTGCACTCTCAAAATAGCCATTATGGGAGACCTGAATGTGTGTGACAGTGGTGATGTACATGTAAGCATCCTGTTTACAAAGTGTTTGACTTTGTGCTGGATTGAATTAGCATGAGTAACACGGGAGTCTTTTTTTTAAATTATGAATGACGTAGAAGCAGTCTGATTCTTTGAAAAGGGAGGTGATTATGTTCTTGGTAATTGTATGCTGAAAATAGTGGGACATGGCATTGTAGGTCGGGAATCCATGGAGCAGAGTGGAACATTAATGTGCATTTTTTTTCATATTCAGAATGTTGTACAAAAATATTAATATTCACCTGCAGTGTGCTGTACACTGTGTTGTACATTTCTAAGGTGTGTGTATACATTCATATGTCAGAGATATGTTTTGTTGTTTCTGTGTGGAGAGACAGGCTTTTGCTTGCTTATTTATTTATGTGTATGTTGCTCTATAGCCCCTCGATAGTCGAGAAAGATGACTCTTGCAAATAACCATCTGGCAACACAACATCATTTGTTTAACGGACTTGATATCTGCTGATGAGACCCACCATGTCAAATCTGGTCCATCGTTTTGTCCCCTTGAACAAATGGTACTGGCAAGCACTGCCGCTTTTGAAGGAGTGAAAATATATTTATTTTACGTGGATCGATGGGGTTTTTTGAGTGCTTCTTTATTTACCCGTGGCCTTCCATCACAACGCAAACAGTAATATTTACGGTATGTCATATTCACACAAAAAGTTGCATTCAAATGTATTGATGGGCAGTTTTTCTCTACAAATGTTTGTGAGCAGTGTGCCGTTTATATGCATTCATATTATTACGTTGATATTTAGGTCTTTTGTGCCATATGTGCATCTTATAGTGGGGGCATTTCATCATTGAGTGGATGCGCCCATATATAGAAAGTAATTGACTGTATTTCTGCGTAGAGTAGATGCTTTTCACCACACTGGCATTTCACAATGAGACAATTAGAATATGCAACACAGAGCATTAATCAGCGTCTCTTTCATACATCTGCCTCTTCAAGTAAAAAACAAAAATCTTTGCACACGCTCTTAGCCCCACTGCCATTTACAAAATGAAACATGTTATCTGATGATGCCGCATTGGAAATGGTGCACAAGCACAAACAACAACAACTCAACACGTACAGTCAATAACACCGTGGCCTTAAAAAGAAAAACGTGATAGGTGACATATCGGGTAATGGCTTTTTATTCATAGCACTTAATTAGCTGTCATAAAGCATAATATAAATAGTTCATGATCACTCTTCCTTGAAGTTCATGGTAAGAGTATAATCCTCAAACGGGGATTCACTCCATTTTTACATACAGCACAGTAACCATCGACTTGTCATTATCGTCTACCTTAAGGCAATTTTGTCTCATAGATTACCTCTTGGCTCAGTACGAGGGGATTGCCCCAGCCAGCCTTCGAACATGCGCATGTGTTGGAGCATGCCGTTCAACAGTGTGTGGTGTCCCGTGTCTCTGGCGTGTCCCGTCCCTGTGTGCCGTGTTTGTACGCGGAATACGTGCGCTAGTGTCGTGCCGCAGCCTTTGCATTGCTCACACCGAGTGTGCTGTATGCGAGCGGGGAGTGACAGAGTAGCAGCTGTGAACTCAGCGACCCTAGTTCTGTACCCGCTCATGGCATCCAACACCAGTGACGGATTATCTGAACCCGTCCTGGGCCTCCCCTTAGGTCGACTCAGCCTTAAACGAGTACCTGGTGTGGTGTGGAAACATCACCGCTGGGGAGACAAATGCAGTCAGCCGTGGTGCTGGTCACCCGCCCCGTCGTGTGCCGTGCCGGCTTTCATAGGTGTTACTCGCTAACAGCACTTGCCCCAAAAGTCTGTTAAGGCTATAAGGGGGATCGTTATCTTTGTTGCGCGCATGCCCATCGCCGTTCTCTTGCAGGAGTGCGAGCTGAAGGAGCGGCATCAGGAGAACGTGCGGCTCGGCAAGGAAACAGCCCGGCTCCAGCACCGCACCCAGCAGCATGAGAGGGTGAGGCCAGCGCCGCACCGCACCACATCACTCTGCAGACTGTGTGTCTGTGAATCACAGCTCCTTCGTGATAGCCCCGCGCTATGAGAATGGCGCAAATATGAAATGCACTCAATAATCACATGGTTTCGAATTTGCAATCATATACCACGTGTATATGTTCTACATGTATGCGCCGCACATGTGCCCGACAATACTTCTCGCAACACGTTATCAAAACGGCACCTGCGTCTCCCTTGGAGGCCAGCTCGCTGAGACCAGACCACCCGGGTTGTCGCCACCGGCACTACATTGTAAATGTGCACGGTTGGCCCATTTTTGTCGATCCACTGCTTCTCCATGCTGGTTGGTGAAGGCGGGGAGAATATACAGTGGAGCATAGTAGAGTCCAACAATGGATGTTGCTGAACTGCCCCTGACCGACTAGAATAGCTGCAGCCTACAGCACCCGATTTACGTGTGGTGGTGGTCGCCCATCCGGACGCTATCCAGGCCCAACTCTTCTTGGCTTCCGAGATCTGATGATATCGGGTCCAATCCAGGTGCTTTGGTAATTGGCTAACCAATCGTGCGATTTCATCAGCATTAATACTCTCAGATATATTATTTATTCAGTTCCTGTAAGTAATGCGGTCTCACTGTTTCCATTTTGTCCTCTTTCCACTGTTGCTTGATGAATTGCGATGGTTAAAAATGCACAATCTAAGACGCAGACGGGCAGCTCAGGGATCACCGCTGAGACCCTGGGTTCTAATTTGCCTTTCGCCTGCTTCTGATTTTCAAGTATAGCCATTTTGTGGCCTCAACCCGGTCACCGATGACTGCAACAACAAAAAACCTCCGCATAAAAAAAATGTCCACCTAATTTTGCTATTTTTCAGTTGTGAGAAGTTTGGCTGCTATGCAATGTATTCGTCCCTGTAGCAAGCATGTGGCAAGCACAGCGCCCTCCAGTCTGGGTAGAGAAGTAAAGAGGTCATTTGAAAGGGGCTCATGAGAAATTCTGTCATCTCCCCTTCCGTGGCCCATTCTCTCACACAGCTTGATCCACTGCTCTGCCCTAAATCCGAATTGACGTTTTGTAGCATGACGTGGCACCGACAGCACGATTTTTACACAAAAGCAAAAAACGTGACTTATAAAATGCTATTGTGAATGTGACATGTGTGTTTTATAATTGCACCTTAAAAAAGTAGATCTGACCATTTCTAAGGTAAGGAAGATGCACTGATTATTCCGTTAATGTCGTTTAAGCTCACAGCAGTTGTATTGAATGGTGTGTGTGTGTGCAATCATCGTTGTCTTTTGAATTGTGTGTGTTGACCAAAAGGTTGCTTCTTGAATTGATTTGTGATCATGACTCATAACAATTTATTGCATTGCTACCCATCTGGTATGAATGTAAGTTTTATTGGATTGAACTAAACATCAATGTCAAGACGGTATCCGGAGCATCTGTTTTTTTTAGCGATATCCCCATCGTGACCCTTAATGTAGAGGCATGCCTCCGGCAAAGGGCGACACTTTCTGTAAACGTGATTTTACCAGCCTATACCCAGAATTAATACAAATGTTCCACACTATGTTATGCCTATAAAGCTGCCGCAGAGCTAACGGAGTACTTAATATGAGGGATGATAGTGAATGTAATTAATTAAATTTAGCATTTAATTATTGATCTAAGCGTCGGGAGTGAATCATTCTCGAACGTCAGAGGTGACCGGCTGTCATAGGTTAGTGATGGAAGGTGAATGGTTTGTCACCGTTTGCTGGCGTGTTGACACTGCGCGCATTCTCGCAATCTGACGCGGTATTACCAAGTGCACACTGGAGAGCTGTACTGGATGCAGAATGCCTGCTCTGCATTGCAGAGATCCTGGGCTCAAATCCAGGATTAAGCATCCCGTGATTACACTTGGATCTCATGTATAGAAAGTTCATGGTCTCAGCTCAGTTACCAATGACTGCACAGAAAATCATATTAAACTTGTTTTTTTTGTTACTTTATCTCACATGTTCCAGCTCTTAGGATTTAATCCTTTCGTTAAGTAGCATGTGACAATCAATCTTTGCTGGGCCCTCAAAGGTGTGCTTCTTGTATGAATAAAGAAGTGTATTGTATTTTGATTGAAAGCTTTTGTGACTGCAGGGATTCATATTCTTGGTTCTTTCGGTAAAGTCACGTAGAAGGGAAAGAATACGTGACTTTACCGAAAGAACCAAGAATATAAGTGCATTGTAATTAATTTATTGGTAGTTACGTGGCATCATCTTCCGTCATGACATGACAATTCTCTCCCCAAAAATGTTGAAAATGTTTTAATTAAGAGTTATATTTAAAGACGCGGGTGGAGCAGTGGCTAATTGGTTCTCACACTGCATTACAGACCTTGTGTTTTATTCCAGATTAACATGACTGCCGTCTACTGACAATAAAGCCCAACGCATAATGCGTGATATATAATAATTTGACGTGGTAATTACGTCATAGTAATCTATATAATGACGAAGAGCCCGCCTCGCCCCGTGTTTTCCCAGGAGAAGACCGAGTGGCAGGAGCGAGTGAAGGCTGCAGAGGCAGAGAAGGGCTACCTGACAGAGGAAAACCACCAGTTGCGTGCCAAACTGGACAGGTTTGAAAAGGTAGTGTGTACCCAGAGCCACCCCCGTGTCGTCACCGTGCCCTGCTCACTGTGGGAGGTTCACTCAACTGTGTGCCCATTTGACCAAGATGTTTTTAAATGACCGCAATGAACACCGATGGCCCGGTCGTTAATGCATCGTGCAATGAACTCGGCCACCCCAAATGGGTTCCGGGCTACGGCTAACCTCAGTGGCGAGTGAAACCTGCACTCGTTCTAGACCTACCCACCACCCCCGCGTCCCTCTCTTTCACCAACCCGCACTGACCAGCGTGGTGAAGTATACTCTAAACAACCGCTATTGACGAACACAGCATCGGGGGAGACCTTCATCCAGAAGTGGATCGACAAAGGTCTATAGGTTACTCATTATTACAGCCGCCTAATAGTATGAAATTTCTGTAACGTTTCATAGTTAAATCTAAATGCATTATTTAAACGGCAATATATCTCTCTATTTGAAATAAGGGAAATGTTCTTTGCACATTGCAAGTAACAAACTACAATTTTATCTCACCGATGTCCAATGTGGATTGTGGGTGCAGTTGAAACCATTCAAATAGGGTTGCCTTGTTTTTTGCTTATATTTCTGCTGTGACCTACTAATTCCCCTGCAATGCACCAAATCTCATTTGATCTCAGAATCTCTACACCGGGTTGACGCAGGCTGCTGAGGGCAGTACAGGGCAGTGTGCCACAATCCATATTTGTACTGCACTTTGCTGCCACGTGTATTTATGAATTGGTTAACAATTCCACCTTGGAAATCACTCGAGGTGGAACATCTCATTTGCGAGGGTGTTCCAGGCTGTCGATTGGCACACGTACCTCCGATTAGCACAGTTGGCTATGTACGCTACAAAATAAGTTAAACATACGTGCGTAACGACGTCTTTGCCCATCATTGTCGCCAACCCACACTGACCAGCGTGAGTGAAATATGGTAAAAAAAATATCCCCAACCACTTCTTGGTGTGGTGAACATTGTATGTGTATGGTAATGTTGCCCCCATCCTTGTGCAGGCACAAGCTGAAACGAACAAAGACCACGATGACGTTGTGCAGGTCCTGGAGGTGAGTGGATTTGCCTGACCCACGGCCACAGGTCCCTACGACCCGTGGCACTCAACCGATTTTTTTTTTGTTCCATTACTCTGCCAATATCATGAAAATATTTTGGGGACAATTAAAAAAGGCTCACCTCTTTTCCCACGTGTGTCGCTAGACCAGAGATGCTTGGCGTGGCTTGGTGACTTCATCGGTACGGTATAATCTCCGCGCCACGCTGGCCGTGGCTCGTAGTGGGGTGGGGGGGGGGAGCGGTTTCCCACCTTAAGGAGGCAGGATGTTGGGATGGCCACCATTGCCAAAGGGGCCCGACTAATCGACCACAAATAGTAGTTGATGATAATGTTCAGTTAATTCATCGACTTAATGGACTAATTGTCCCAGCGCTACGTAGCACTCTACTCTTCTGCACGTGCCTTTCTCTCCAGTCTCCAAGCTCTTCTCTGTGCTGCATGGGAGGTCGCTCTATATCTGCTGCCCCCCCCCCCCCCCCCCCTGCAATCTGGAACTGGAACTCTTTTCCCCCTGGCAATCGATGCCATCAACTCCCTGCCCCATCCTCTTATCTTCTGCCTCTTGACTCTATCATAACTATATGTATCTATTTTATTATGTTTTATTTTTATTCTTTTAAAATATAATTTTATTATGTTTTATTTTTATTATTTTATTATTTCCATTCTACGTGACTTTACCGAAAGAATCAAGAAGATGAATCCCTGCAGTCACCAAAGCTTTAAATCGAAATGTGCACTCACTATTCTGTACAGCGACTTGAGTCGCAGCTACATTTTTAGACACTCTGTAAATACAAATGCTATTCCATTGCAAATGCTCCTGTCTGCCCTGTGAATGCTGGACTGTTTACACCGGCAGGTGCGGAGGACATTACACAGAACATAACAGTGCTCCACTGCAATGTAATGGATAATGGTCGGGCCAGGGCTTGGTTTTCACTCTTGATTTCTTTCACAAAATGATTCGCACATGAGCTGTGCGTTTGTCTCAATTGCAACAAGGGGCTGTGTGCTGCCTACCTGATCACCGTGGCGCTGGTAGGTCATATTGCGGACACTTGCAGCTGTTATAACAGCACCCGGTAGTCCACTGCTGTGAAGTTTATCAGAGGATGTTCTATGGAGGTGTGACAATTCACCGTCCAGCCGGACACGATGAATCATCGTGATTCAGGGTCATCGTTCACTGAAACAAAATATTGTTTTTGTAATTTTGTGGTGAATGTAGTGGCCACGAGTGGCTGCAGGTGTCATGGGAACCTATTACAGACATCATAGGAATAGAAAAGATTAATTCACACGCACATGTTTTGTAGGAATTCACATTAATCGAGCAATCGAGGCATTAGGAAACCTTTGCACATGTATTTTTTTCCAGGAACATAGAGAATTGTGTATTGTTTGTTACTTGCCGTGCATTGGTGTTAGTATATTTTCCAATTGCCCTCGAATGCAATGTCTTTTTGGCACTTACACGTTTCAAGAAAATATTGAATCTTGTACATATTTGCTATTGCTGCGTACACGTGAAACCTAATTTTACTGTCAAGCTTTGTTTTGGTTCAACGCTGAGTGATTGCTTGGAGGCACTTGGCCATCTGCGGCGATATTCTGGCACTTTTGTGCGATCGCAGAACGTGTTATTTTCCTCACCGTCGAGTTTGTCAGGGTAATGTGCATTGCACGTCCGCTGTTCCCCACTGTGTCATTACAGCAGTGGCTTTCAATCTCCCTACACTCCCCACGTGAACTCTCTTTGCAGAATTTTTCAGCTTCCCCTCCCTCCTTAGCATCCCGCACCACACCGTCTCCCACCTCCACTCTGGCTGTCAGTGTTGCACTACAGACAGTGCCTGCCTCTTTCTCGACAATTAACTTCTGAATTTTAATGTGTATTTGTTATCTTCTCCAGGGAACAAGTATTAATGCTGGAAACGTTTCGCAATCATTAGGCTTTGTTTGCATGCCAAACTGTGGTGAATTGGAGAGCTGTACCCTTGGCCAAATTCAGTGCAGGGCGGCCATTGGAATATAGTTAGTTAACGATGAATTAACATAGAGAAAAACATATAGACCATCTGGCACCATGCTGCCAAGAGGCAATTATCTTGCTGGGGTCTTGGCCATGTGTTATAGAAATGCTTACAATTGCTACATTCCCAAATTGCCCCTGATTGTGATCATAATAGGGATGGAATTGGAGGTCACGGACAGGCGAGGTGTTTCTCCAGGGTCTCAGCTTTCTCACCGTTGTGCTCGACATGTGGTTAACGATAATGGCTCAAGAGCACAGAGCTCCCAGCTCACCCGGTCGAGCGTCTCACCAATCACGATACTCCTTGCTGTAGTCACAGGTTCGTGAGAGACAACTTTAGCCTGGCGCCTTAGAGGAAGGGTTTGTTGACCAAGCAGAGATCACAATGTGTGTGTGACACCCATCAAAGAGACAGCAATGAGCTGGTACGTGGTAGTACATCAGTTAGGCTATTTACCTGCACTCGTTTTTGATTTGGGTAGAGTGGAGGCACTGTGCTATGAAACTGGCAACTTGAGTTTGATTCTCTATCATTGATAACATCAATGGTGAGTGATGTCTGAAACGCCGCCGGACGGCGTGATCCCACGATCGACGCTGCGTGTAGCAGTCCTCCGTCCAGCAGCAGAGGTATAGCAGCATCAACGGCTTTGAACGTGATGACACCTTGACTTGGCCATGCTGGTGACTGATGCCGACCGCCATTCCCGGTGGCGCGTGCTCACACGGCAGGCGAAGGTGCACGATCTGGAGGAGTGGTGCCGCACGCACGTGCACCACCAGTTCGGGCAGCTCACCCACGAGCTGGAGCGATTCGGCCTGCACAAGGCCCACGGCGACGCGGTGAACGGCGGAGCCTCCAGGCCCCCCGAGACGCAGCCGCAGCTGCATGCGGCGACTCGCGGGGGCCCCGAGGCAACCGGGCCGCCGACGGAACCATCTATGACCGCGGAGGCCGGCGCCGGGCGTCATGAGCTCACGGGAGCTGCTGCTGTGGCCGCTGCCTGGTCCTCGCCGGGTCCCCTGGAGAGGATGGACGGGACGGCCTGCGTGGCTCACGTGGCTCACGTGGCTCACGTGGCCCCACTGCCTGCCGGTAACGTTCCCAGCTGCCCGCCCACGTGCGCTTCGTAGCAGATTTGTGATTGTGCATAAATTGCCGGGTGTGGTGGTGCTGCTCGCGGGCACTTTGTTCTTCTTTCCTGCGGAGTGGAGCGGTGGTGAGCGCACTGTGCTCTGAACCCTGTAACCTGGTGGTGGTTCAGAAGTCGGAGCAGAGAGCTAATAACACTGCTGAGATCATGGATTCAAACCCTGGGATCAGTCACTCATGGTTACTCAGGGGTTTCTCAAGATCAGTGTGTTGATGGTCTGTGTATGGTCACCAAGGAATGTACAAAAAAATAATTGACTTTAGGTTAGGACTTAATTTTGCTTTTTATAAAAAAAAAACAATGCAACTCAGACTTTGTCAAGACCACTTGAAAGGTTTTTCAGACAGTCCTGTGACACATCCTTCTGGAGCTGTCTCCTGACATACGCTGGTGCACTGCTCTTGTGAGATATGCTGCATATCATTGCACAATACTGAATAGCACATTTGGAATAAATTGGAATACAGGAAAAATAAAGAATCATAATAAACAGACTATAACCACAATATGCTTTGGTGTAGCCACATCTCTAAACGCTGTACAAATTGGGCAATCTGCACATTGAGATAATTCAAAGGACATAAGCACACTGGCCAGCTTTTCATATCTCAGTACCCGCTGGTGCACTCCGGTCACTCACTCACTCACCGGTGGCCAATGCTATGTATGCATGTGGAACTTCTTTCGCACCGTACGTAGCCAAACATGCTAATTGGAGGTGTGGGGGGAAGGACAACAAACTATACGCAAAAAGCAGTTCTACCTTGGCTACCGTTCCTGTGAACTTCACTCGTTGAATCCTCCATCTGAGTTGAGGAATCGCTCTATCAGACTGACTGTCTCATCTCATCCACACTGTCTTCAACCACCACACTGCAGGTCACATACACACTCACCACACTACAGATCACAAGAACACTCACCACACTGCAGGTCACACATAACGCTTTTATTTCTGCTTTTCTCCTTGGACCACTCGACTTGGGAATTCCCCCCCCCCCCCCCCCCCGTCATCACTTTCTCAATCTCTCGTAATAACCTTGTTCAATTCAATTCAAGAAACATATTAACTCTTACCCTATTACACCTTCAGCTGTGCTGTTCGTTGCTGCCCGCTTGGCATTTTGCTCTTTTGGGCCCTGCGCTCAGCAACCATGATTTCCAATTAAAAAAACACAAACATGAAGCTTATACATTTTAAATACCAAAATGGTTGTACAACATCTGACAAATTGCATTCAATTACACAACCATAATTGCATGGGCAAAACAGCAAATCATAATTACAGTTTTTATCTTCGGGTGGGGGCGAGGGGTGGAATGGATCGTGAAATCGGTGCTTTGATTGATGGCTCAGGTAGCGGGCCGCTTGTCTAAACTTGTAATGATATGCTCGTAATATCCTGACCTGCACCGTGCTGTAAGTGTATAATTTATCCCGGCTAACATTGTTTGATATGGTTGCCCATATTCATGAAAAGTGCCTTGAATAATAATTATGGTGCAGCCTGTTTTGTGTTCTTGTGGCACATTCTGCATTCAGGACATGATGTCACGAGTGGGGGCAGGCATGAGTTATAGCAGAGGGTCACGGTGCCTTGATATAATTTTTCACAATACAATAGGATATTAAATTTCACCCGATGACGATTATTCGAGATATCAGTTTCCCATGATGTTGTAAATGTACTTCACATATGTATTGTATTGATGTTGCACTTTGCTGCACCTCTTGTGAAATGAAGATTACTGCAAAGCTCCTCAACTATGCAGTTCGCTAAACTTAATCTTGCCATATGTAGTCTAATCATGATACCTTTACAGTCTATAATGCTTATAATGCACGTACACCATCAGTAAATGTTGCCGTAAAACGATCGCCATGTCGTCAATTACTCACAATTTATTTTTACTAAGCATTAACGGATAATCTATTTTTTTACTTTAATTTTGGTTGTGACCTTTAATCATCGTTTTTTCAGAAATCTTTTTTTTCTGGAAATAAAATATTTCTAAAAAAATTAATGGGACACCATTACATTTAACAAGCGGACTTTTGCGACCAGTATCATGATTCATAATTTATTTTTAGGTCAGATCGCGCGAGTAACACAACGCTCTTTCGCAGAATCGTAGTATAGCCGTGTCACGATGACCCCAATAGGGGGCTGCCTCTTCTAAACCAGCCACCGGCTCATTCCATCCTATAACGTGCGTACACATACAAACATCGTCCCTGTTTGTGATCGACTCAACTTCCTTTGGAATGACCGTGTACAGCCCTTTGGTCAGTCTAGAATCAAAATCTATATTTCATGAGCTATGAAGCTCTTTTTCACAGATGTCCAGTCCACAGCTGGATGAGGGCCTCTGGTCTTACTTGATCACACTTCACCACAATGGTGGAGTTGGGGAGCATTGACATGGAACATAGAAGTAGAGTTTGATGATGTATTTTGCTTGATTGCCCTCTGAGGTCAGCTTTCAAAACTGACAATGTCTACTCTTTGGTTCTTTCGGTAAAGTCACGTAGGTATAAAATAAAGCAAAGGTTTCCCACCTGATGACGGACGCTTGTGTTGTTGCCCGAAACAGTCGTGATTTATTTAAATGTTATACCTACGTGATTTTACCGAAAGAACCAAAGAGTATGGATTCCTGCGGTCACGAAAGCTTCAAATCAAGATTGACAATGTATAACCTCGAACACGTTATGCACATGGGTCCCTATCCGAGCACTCTCCAGGCCTCAACCCTGTTTATCTTCCAGGCTATGACGAGATCCCGTGGATTCTGGGTGATTTGGTTATTGGCCTCTTGTTTTGCATCATGTATACATCAATAGTCATCACTGCTTGTGCGTCATGGATAAAATAATTGTCAACGGAATTCATAAATAGTTATTTTACTAAGTGGGTGAGAAGAGGCCAGCTTTTAGGCTAGTCATATTTCATGTGCTGCAGAGGCCCAATGTCTATAGATGACTTTGTGCAGTGGACAAACAGATGGCATAGTCGGTATGCAACAAATTAACCCAGTCAGTGTCATTTTATTGTTAAGTTAAAGGCGCGGCCCTGCAATGCTTGCTCGTGCCGCAATGCCAATGGTATAATAATAATTATTTGCAGCCCTTTGTCAATCGACTAATGGGATGAGGTCCTTCCCATGCCGAATAGCGAATAGGTCATGGGGGTTGATTGACTATATCTCACCATGCCGGTCAGTGCGAGTTTGGAGGGGCGGCCAGTCCGGGACCGTTTCCGAAATTACTCCCCCCACCTCCCCCCTCACACTGATGTTAGCCGTCAGCTGTGGTAGGGCATCGAACTCAAGTCACTGGGTTCTTAATGCAGTGCACAAAACACGATGTCACGCATCACCCACTGTCAATGTAATGTAACCAGACTTCAATTCAAGTTTGTTATACTTTAGTATGGCATGTACCAACTTCATGGCTAACTAACCCCATCATATGATTGCCATCCCAATAATGGGGATGTCTAGTAAGGTTTTTTATTTGATTTGTGTTATTAACCACAGTCTTCTGTGCCAAGTCTTAATTCTCATTCTGAATATCAAGTTGGTGTTATGGGGCTTATGCATTCGGCAAAGACCTGGTGGCACTTAATTGCAAAGGTTAGCCACAATGCAGGTACAGTATAGCAAGTTTCTGTACACCCAGTTATGCTCTAGTGATATGATATTTAACCATAATCCATGCAAATGGTATCACCATCTAAAACATGGAAAATACCACAATCCCTGATGAATCCCAAGCCGAAAGTCACAAATAATGAAATTCAAAGCTCAGCAATTATAGCCGATGTGTGCTATACCTGCTTGTGACAACTAATGCGGTAATAGCAATAACAACTTAGTCATCCAGAAAAGCTTTAGTGAGTCTCAAGACACATTTTTTTGGAAGGGCGCTGCATCAGGATGTGAGGCCAAATCTAGGAATGATTGAGAACCCATTGAGACCGTTATTCTCTTTTCGAAGTGACACCTGGATTAAACAAGTAGAAACATAGCAATTATAAATTATAGAAATTAATTAAAGCATGGCAAATTCAAAATAATATTGTTAATTATCAATGAAGGCTTCACTCAATCTCAAGACATTTTTCTTTAGGAGTGTCTTGTACTGGAATGTTTAGGCAATTCCATGCATCAGTGTTTTGAATGTAGGAGGATATCTGAGCACTTGGGAGATAGCCCACCACACATTCAATAAATTATCACTCAAAGCTCATCACAGATGGATTCCGTAATCCACTTGCTGTACTGCCATTTGTTGTACTTCCATATCCTGGCCACCTGGGTACAGGAGTTCAGCAACCCTTGCCTCCAAAGTTCCGGATCTCAGTTGTGCACCACAGCTCCCGGCCGTAGCGTCCTTTAATGAGACTTGAGCCCACCGATTGACGCTACCTAATTGGAATCTACATTGTAATCATTGGCCTGACTGCGAAAACTTGGCAGGGCCCTCGAGAAAAAGAGTCACGAGACTCCGTGAGGCTTTCCTGGGTAAACAAGCGGAATGATAATGATGATAATTATCTTCTTAAAATAAAACATAATAAAATAATTCTTACGACATTTCGGCCACAACGCAAGCAGCCGTCCTCAGGTGAAGACCAGGTCTGTCGGGGAGACAGCGTCTGAATCTTTCTTTTTTCATTCAGACGCTGTCTCCCCGACAGACCTGGTCTTCACCTGAGGACGGCTGCTTGCGTTGTGGCCGACACGTCGTGAGAATTATTTGATTATGTTTATTTTTATTATTTTATTATTTCCCTTCTACGTGACTTTACCGAAAGAACCAAGAAGATGAATCCCTGCAGTCACGAAAGCTTTAAATCGAAAGATGACAATTATAATAACGCTTTTGCCCTGCTGTGGTCACACCCCTAGGTGGAGAGGCAGCCAGCGGTGGCGCGTCGTGTCCACAGGATCAGCCCACCCACATCGTCGCTGAGCAGCCACCCAGACTGAGAGGTCGGCTCCAGCATGGCAGCCTCTCTCGTTCCTTCTCCATGGAGGTGATGGTCCAGTCGTACTCCGCACGTGCGTATGCACGCACATACACACGCGGGCACACGCATCCAACCGTGGTGCCTTCAGATAATTGAGCTCAAATAATAGTATTGGGCTGCTTCTAGGCTCTTCTGGGCCACGGATAATCTGGCACTCCAGTGGCCGTAGAAACCAGTTGTCTGTATGATCGCGAGTTGATAAGCTGCGTTGAGTTGACAAAGGCACCTCGCCAGGTGGACACGGCAAGTGAGGTGGACGACTTGGACACGGACCACGTCTCGCCCATCAGTAGCCTGGCCGCGCGGGGAAAGAGCAAACTGCAGGTGTTCATAGCGCGGTACAGGTGAGTGAGTGCGGCGCTGTCCCTGTTCCCATACAGATGAACACTAAGATCCCATGGTGTGCCGCACACGCTGTGGTTAAACGATATCGCCAAACATCTATTGTATCCAGCTAGGATTCACGGTGCTACAACCACATCCACCACAGCAGTTGTGCATTTTTTTGGTGGATCATGTAGATTTGTGGAACTCTGGAACACCTTTCGATTAAATACTTGTTGCTTCGCCCTTCCTCCTTGGGCTTACCCAAGTAAATGTCCTCCGAGTTGCCGTTGTTTCACCAAGGTGAGAAATCAAGAGACCAGGAAGAGTCTCATTTGAAAGAGTGACCTTGGGGCATTAGTCTGCTTATAATCCGAGTTGAGTAATTTGCAGGTAACATTTGAATTTGGACATTTTGGAGCCTGACACCGGCACATAATCGCCAACTCTTGTCAATGACGTCAGGAAATCGTTGACGTCCACCGTGAAGCAGACGGCGGCGGTATTATGGTTAATACACCCACGGTAATAATCAGGACAGCAGTAGATTCAAATCCTGAGCCTCTGCAACAAGTGGCGAATGCACTACCGCTAGGCTGCGTCACCGCACGAGCATCGTAACAAATCCCACAGTGCTTTGCTGCGAAGCCATTCTCACAGAGCACACCCTTCACCCGTGGCTTAAATTCCATGGGAAAGGGACCATTTGCTATAAAGTGTTTTGAGTGTACAGGCTGTCCATGAAGGTGCCGTCCATGATTAATCTCCCTTCTTTCGTAAGGATATGAATTGAGTAGCAACTATACATCAATGTCTAGGTTGTAAATCCTGCTGATGGCTTCAGAGGACATCGAGTTGTTGGTTAAAGGAATGGATAACTTGGAATGAATTACGACTCGATAGCAGTTTGAGCACTGTGTTTGAATAGTGGGGGTTATATGAAAGGTAATGTATGTTTCCCAAAATATTCAAAAGCTCGAGTGATCTTCACACGACAGAAACATTCAAAAGCATTGTGCCCGCATTGCTGCCAAACACCCGGAGCTCTCCCAAATCTCTGTGACCTGTGTCGCCAACGCTACGGCAGACACGCGAAGCCTGACAGTGGTGAGACTCGTACGGCAACGTCATCATCCTAGCGAGTGTGTGTGCACGCGCGTGCATGTGTGCAGTTTTATTGACCCAGTCGAAACTAATGTCTACATAATAATGATTTGCAGCTCTTTGTCACTCCACTGTCAGATGAATGCTTCCCCACACCACGTCAGTGGCAGAGGTTGTTTGACCATATTTCACCACGCTGGGCAGTGTGGTTTGGTGAAAAGGGTGCCCATGACCGGTTCAGTTATCACCCGCCACTGATGTTAGCCGTGGCCGGGAATCTAACTGAGGCCCCACCGGGTTTAGAACACAATGCACGAGCCACTCTTCCACCGCTCTACTCCACGTGATATACGGCGCGCGTATACACAGAGATGTACCTATCAAAGTACCAAAGCAACGCAAGATTGAATGCCAAAGTGAAAGTGGAATGTTCCTATCGTGTTGTGGAACGCGAGCCCATTACTATTAACGTTAGGAGAGAGAAAAGCTATACGCACAGCTACCGCCCCAGTGTCTGTGAATGTAGCTGATGAAAAACAGTGCCTCCAAAAACTAAAGCAAATAAAATAAAATGGCACAATAATGTCAAAGAGTTAAAGCCAGCTCATCAATCAGCCTTGCTTTTTAATGAGTTTTTTTTGTCCCCTTACAGAACATTTCTGGAACATTATTTGGCTGCGAATTACACCGAGAGTCAGAATAAGGGACACATCAATCAGAGAACAAACACAAATCACATTTGGCTGTTAAGAAGAGTAAGTGGGCTTGGGCAGAACACATCACAAGAAGGGAATGGTGTCCGATGGGACGAGACTGGTGATGGAAATGCAAAACAATTGATGGGACATACCCAAGACCAAAAACACCGTGGAGATGGAGGGGGGATGAAATAAAGTAATGTGCAGGAACTACATGGATGGATTCATTGCAAAACAAGGAGGGATGTCAACGGCAATGATAATAGAGAGGCCTTCATCCAACAGTGTATAGATATTGAATAATTGACGATAGCTTTATGGATACCTTGTGAGAGTGTCTCTATGACCAAATCTCCCAAAACTTACCTGGTCTCGTCAGTTCTAGAGATTAATAAGGACCTATTCTTGAGCTGAACAATCTTGTAGCACATGAGTTCCAGTCCTGGGCTTCCCTGACTTTAACTCAGCCTCAAATCATCACCACTCGGGAGACTAATACAGGCGGGCGTGGTTCTGGCCACCCAGTCCCTCGTGTGCCGTGCCAACACTTGTCCCAGCAGTCTGTTAAGGCTACACGGGGAATCTTTGTCTATGTAAAAGGCGAACTAACACTGAGAGCCGTTGTTCCACAGCTATAACCCCTTCGAGGGCCCCAATGAGAACCCGGAGGCTGAGCTGCCGCTGGCGGCCGGAGAATATGTGTACGTGTACGGCGACATGGACGAGGATGGCTTCTACGAGGGTGACTGCGCACTCACTCCAACTGCCTGGCGCCACCTTGTTTAACAACAACAACAACAATAGAAGCCGCTTGCATTTTCAATACACCCATAATGTAACACACGTCTCGGGGCGCAGACGTTCACAGGAAGAGCAGCAGTGGGTGGGAGTGAACAAGTAAAGGGGAGAGAAAAAGGAAGAAAATGAGGAGGTCCGAAGGCACCAGAGAGAGAGAGGGGAGGGAGTTCCAGAGGGAGAGGGGGGGCATAATGGCTCAAAGAGTGGCCACCAATGGTGGAGTGGCAGATCATGGGAGCAAGGAGGAGGCCAGAGTCTTTTGAGCAGAGGGACTGTGGCTGCGACATGGGGGTGGAGAAGGTTGCAGAGGTATGGGGCAGGAGGAGTAAGGCCGTGGATGGAGATCAATTTGAGGACAATGATCTTGTCGTCCACACATTTGTGGATGGAAAGCCAGTGCGGTGAAGCCAGGGGAGTGTACATACAATAACTCAGGGTGGGGACATGACACAAACTACCCAACATTTTTTGTTACACTTAACAGAATCAGTAACGGTCTGCTTTTTGTCTAAAATACAATTCTGCTCCATCTCTCACCCCCGATATGCGTATGAGAAAAAGGCTGCGATGCCAATTGCTTAATTGTGCAGATTTTTGTAGCAAATTTTTTTTTACTGGGGGGGGGGGTTATCCTGGGGGGCGGTCGGGGGCGGTTATCCTTCACCAGGGGTGTGGGGCTGGGCCCCTCCAGCCCCCCCTACAGCCTCCCTAACCAGCCTCTGCACCTCTGTCCTAGTGGCCCATTACCACTCTCCTGAGTTCCATGCCTGACCGGTGCTGTCGCGAGTAAAGGACAGTCTAACCATTGCTCCTCATCGTCTCCACATTGCTATCCACTTGTGTTGTAGATCTGTGGGCGGTCTTTGCTTAAAATGTGGAAAGAGCCCCCATCGAGGATAAAACGGTCAAAATAAGCACATTGTACAGCAACATTTTTATCAAATTACTTGCAAAGTAAAATGTAAGCAGGTGAAGAAAAATGACTCTGGGTCAATATGTGTAAATACATAAATCACCACACTAATGGCATATTCAATATGAACAAATCACATGAAATTACGGACAAATGGGCAAAAATCCAATACTAATTTTATAAAGACAATATAAGTAGAATTTGGAGTTAATTAGAATAACATGTAAAATTTAATACATATTCAATAACGTTAATTTAAATTTGCTTACCAAAGTAATTCTATTACATTTCCTCATTCATGTACTGGCAGGAAGCCATATTGTGCCTGCGATTAGCTTTCATTAGTTGCTGAACGATAGAGCACCATCAATGAGGCTTTCTCCTGTTCTGTTATAATCACCCAATTGGCGTTCATTTTTGGGAGGTCCAAACTCAGGCTGCGACTGCGTTTGTGCAGGAGAGCTGATGGACGGCAGGAGAGGCCTCGTCCCCTCAAACTTCATCGAGCGCATCTCCGACGAGGACTTGGTGGCGTTCCACCAGATGGAGGGCGAGCATTCATTGTCGCAGCAGCAACACCTCCACCATGTCCACCACCATCACCACTCGTGCCCCGACCGTGACCGAACCCGTCCCGCCTCAGCCTGCAGCGTCTGCTGGGAAGGACAGTGCTGTCCCGGCCAGTGCCCCAACCCCTGCCAGAACAAGTGCCGGGCCGAGGTGCCAGCGCCACCGTGCGCGTGCCCGGCGCCACCGTGCGGCACCGACGGCGTTAGTTGTAAGTGCGGCCGCTCGAGCGAGACTCCACACCGCTGCTGTGGCGCGCCGTACGGTTGCAACGTCGGTCAATCACTGCCGCGGCTCGGTACTCCCAACTGCACGGAGGACATCGACGCGGAAGAAGCACCGCCTCTGCAGGACGACCCGCGCGTCCGTCACCCGCGCGGCATCGCCCTCATCAAGCAGCTGGCCAAGAGCGTGATCATCAGCTGGGAGCCGCCGCCGCTGCTACCGCCGCCGGCTCGCACTTCCGCGTCGTCGTCGCCGTCCCTCTCCACTTCCTCGTCCTCCTCCGCCTCCTTCTCCGCCGCGGCACCCACGAGCTACAACGTGCTGGTGGACGACGAGCTGCGGATGAACGTACGCGCCAGCGCCAAGCCCAAGGCACTGGTGGAGAAGCTGGAGCTTTCGGCGCGCTCGTATCGCGTGTCCGTGCAGGGCGTGACGGCCCGGGGCCTCTCGGACCCGGCGCTCTGCAGCCTCCTGGTGGGCGCAGGCGCCACGCCGGCCCCGCGCCAGCTGGCGGTCCGCGACATGACGCCCTCGTCGGCCGTGCTCACGTGGCTGCCCAGCAGCAGCAGCCACGCGCACATGGTGCGCGCTAACGGGGAGGAGCGCGGCGAGGTGGCGGCGGGCGTGCGCGCGTTCACGCTGCTCGGCCTGGAACCCGACCGGCACTACCGCGTCGTGGTGGAGGCGCGGCCGCAGCGGTCGCACTGGGAGCCGAGCCCCGAGGAGAGGCGGCGCAGGGAGGCGAGCATCGCGTTCAGGACGCCACCCGCAGGTGCGCCCCATCGTCCGTGTCGCTGCTCGGCTGGAGTAGGTGGTCGATGACTGGAGGGGGTCGTAGCGATTTCTTTCGCGCCGTATGTAGCCAACCGTGCTAATCGGAGGTGCGTTATTTAAAATAAGAGGATGTTGTTGAGAAGACAAGTGTGTTTTGATGTACCTGAGTCAATCCTGATGCTCATCAGGGCTCGTGTGAGTGTGCATTTGGAATACCATATGTAGAATTTTTTTCTTGCATCCTCTAATTTTCGCAATTGGCTTAGGGGAAAGTTTGGATTGTGTGTAATCGTTCATCATTGTATGAGCCTTGTTAAGGTTTTTTCCCCTTTATTTTACAATTTGGAGTTGGTATCCACACAGCCTCTACATGGGACCACGTCTTAAGATGCTTTAAAGAAAGAGTGTGTTTATTTATATTACCTTTTATGGAGCTAGTCGAACAGAGACAGAGTGATAAAAGGAAAGTCTTGGGCCTTGTCTTGAAAATGGGCAGGGAGGCGACAGCACAGATGGCTGGGGGCAGAAGGAAATTCCAGACGATGTGGCCCTGCCTGCCTGTCCTGCCTTTATATCTATTGCCCATCTATCGATCTGCCTATCTGCTCATGTGCTGTATTCTCCATTAAGAAGAAATGTCACTCCAACTGAAGATTAATTTTTGAGATATGCTCTGTCTCTTTAGTTATCTGCTGTGAGGAGGTTGACTTTATTTAATCTCATGGTTTTATTACCGAGAATCAGTGGCTGGCACAGCTGTCAATGGAGCAGCCAGTGAGGGCGGTCTAAGGAGTGGGGTTCATGCCGTACAACAACGACTGTGAACTCAATATTAATGAAGTGGCTGCCTACATTTCATTACGTGTCAACTCCACACCCCCTCTCAAGAAATCAATCTTTAATTGGAGTGAAGTTTCTTCTTTTATTACGCGTGTGGTTTTTGTTATTCATCCACATTAACACTTTGTGCTTCACACTTGTGTGCGTTGTTGGTAAAGAAGTTATGCATATGTATTCTTGTATTATTTGCCCAGATTATATACAGGGCAAGAGAAGCTGTGAGCTTTTTGAAATTCAATATATAAATAAGAATATGGATTTTCTGTAGGGACCTGTAATGAAAGTGCTCGTTGCATAATTCCACGTGTACATCTGGGACACTTTAAAGACGTGGGTAATCGTCGGTATAAAATGATACAGAGGGCATAGTGTGCCAGCCAATGGGGACTATAATTCAAACAGAAATGATCTGAACACCGTTTCCTGAGAAGTTAGACAAAAGCTCGTGAAAATTACCACATGTCAGACGGTACGCTGACAAAATTACCTTCTCATCCACACTGACATGGTGAAGGTGCATTTAGTTTAGTGTGTGTGTCAGGACATTGACATATTCTATGAGCCATATTTTCGAGAGGTAGCCATTCCGCAATAGTTCAAACCGGTCATTTACTTTGACTCGTGAAATGGTGCTTCTATGTTATTTTAAAGCAAAATACTAATGTGAACTATTTTTATTTTACCAGGTAAGGCCCACTGAGCTTTATAGCCTTTTTTTCAGAAGCGACCTGGCTACCTCAAATGATAGCTCAACGAAGTGGCTTTTCACTTGGAAATTTAAAGCAGCCAAATACTCTAAAAACGCACGCTGACTCTAAATGTGGAGGGAAGAACCGGAGGACCCGGAGAAAAATCTACGCGACCACTTGGAGCACGTGCAGACTCAACATATACAGCAGGCGTCGTGGTCGAAACGGCACCTACGACCTCCTGCATACCAGGTAGTTATCATCTCGCCACCTCTACTGTCCCCCAGGTTTGCCAGACGCGCCACTTCACGTGCAGGTGGAGGCCGGACAGAGCACGGGGACGCTGCTCGTCTCGTGGCTCCCCGTCACCATCGACGCCATGGGCTCCTCCAACGGCTCCTGCGTCACCGGTTACGCCATCTTTGCCGATGGAGCCAAGGTGAGGGCTTGGCCTTGCCACGCGTCACACACACACCCGACAGAAGCCTGATAAGTATACTCTGCGAAACATTCCTTGCGGAGGGAGCTGGTAGGAACGTTGGGTTGCTCGGTCAATGGCCAGGTTCAACGGCGGCATGGTGTATTCCGCAGATATGCCCGACTGTGAGGGCGGGCACAAGCCGGCGTGAGTAGGTTAAACGTTGAGTTTTATAAGGGCACCACGGGGTGACCAGCCCCTCCCCACCCAGCCCCACCCCTCCCACCCCCCACCCAGCCCCACCCTCCCCACCCAGCCCCTCCCCACCCTCCCCTCCCCACCCAGCTCCACCCTCCCCACCCAGCCCCTCCCCACCCTCCCCTCCCCACCCAGACCCTCCCCTCCCCACCCAGACCCTCCCTCCCCACCCAGCCCCTCCCTGCCCAACGGACGGACACAATAATCCCCTGTGGGCTGGTGTAACCAGGAGGTTCCTGCCAGTAAAATGCCTTTGCTTAGAATGGTCATGCGTCAGCAATGCGGTGAAACTCTCTGCGTTGGATGTATAACGGCATGTTGATTCATCAATTAATATCAATTGTTAAGACCTTGGATAGTCAGGTGACTCTCGGTCCCTGGTGAAACGTTTTGATTCGTGTGCTTTGGATTTAATGAGTTCATATGACCCTTCCAGCCACGAGAGGTCACTGCTTTCACAATGATGCCAACGAGTTATCGATTAAATTCGAACGCGACGTTGAATTGGAACAATTTGTTTCATCGCGAGAGGGGTTATTTGTCACTCTCCAACCAGTCCTGGGAATTAGTGAATATTTCACATTCCTAAGGTGGGGTAAGTGATAAGCCACTTTGTTGAGCTATCATTTGTGGCCAGGTGTCTTCTGAAAATGAAGCTAATTGCTCAGTGGGTTTCACCTGGTAAAGTAAACGTGTATTTTTTTGTGTGATTTGCTTATATTTTCTATATTTTTTCACTCCTATTGTGTTTTCACATTCCGTTCTTGGCCTTTCCCCCCCCCCCCCCCTCAACCATTATATATACGGAGTGGTATCTCTTGTAATCTCTCATTTACTTGATACAGCTGTCGGGCTGTGACGGTTCCACCTGAAGACGGAAGCTTGTGTTGCCTCCGAAACGTCGTGATTTTTATTTTTTATTTAACTTTTATTAATTTAATTTTTTACCTACGTGACTTTACCGAAAAAAAAAAAAACCTAAGAATATGAATCCTTGAAGTCACGAAAGCTTCAAATCTAGAATTGTTTTCACATTGTTGTTGCAAATTTCTGTCCTACCCCATACTGGACATCTGTGAAAAAGGGGTCACAGCTCATCATATTCCTCCACTATAAATAAAGATTCTCATTCTGACCGGAGTGAATCATGAATCCCGTGCTGTTCGCATGGCGCAGGTGCTGGAGGTGGCGTGCCCGACGGCGGGCAGCGCCGTGCTCGACTCGTCGCTCTGCGAGGGCAGCTCCTCGCTCACGGTGCGCACGCTGTCTCCGCGCGGCAGCTCCCCGCACTCGCTCGCCGCCCGCCTCCTCCACCTCCCGCCACCGCCAGACCCGACGGGGAGCCCCGAGGGACCCTCGCCGCCTCCGCCGCCGTCGCCCGTCGCCGGGGCCCACGCCGGCGCGGATGGCAGCGGCACGCCCACGAGACGGGCGCGCTCGGTCAGCAAGCTCAAGATGTGCAACCACGCGGCCGGGTGGGGCAGCCCGTCCCGTGCGGAGCCGATGGCCGGTCAGTGCCGGTGACAAGCCGCGACATTGATCAAACGTGGCGTTTTAAGCCCTTTAAGTAGCAATATTGTTGCCGGGTGGCAGCGCTGAGCTGGCATCCCCCGAGATCTTGGGTTTAAATCCAGGCAGCCGTCTGTGATTTACCCCAGATTCGGGAGTGTGGTTAGTCGATGGTCTCAGCCCAGTCACTAATGACTGCACACACACACACACACACAAAAACCCAATCGCATTTAATTTTGTTCGGCATTTCAGTGCGGAGAGAAAAAAAAAATTTGGTTTGGCCGTCGGGTAACGAACATTATTCTCAGTTGCAGAGTGGGTGGGAAATTAGCGCCCACTACTGTGTGGATCAGAAGTCACTTGAATAGATTTCAGAAGTAGCTCTGTTCGATATTCACTTTAATGGGCTGTCCTGTAACACAAAGAGTTCCATTGTTCGCGTGACATGGCGCCGAGAGCTCGTAAAATGTGTGGCGGGCGGGAGGGGGGTTGAATTTTCGTGACAAAAAATACCAGAAATTAAAAATGTTGCCTCTTATTGCGAACAGCAGTAGGGGAGGCGTGGTACCACCCCGCCACTGACTCCTCGGGCCAGACTTTGACGGACGAGGCTCGCTTGAGAGCCACGGAAATCCCCTGCGACACAGGGTCGATGGGAGACGTCCCAGACACTCTCGCCACGGTGCAGCTGTGTGCTGCCGGATCGCCGGCGAGGGCCGACGCCACCCCCTCGCCCATAGTGCCAGCCGTCCGGTTCGCGGAGCCGCCCCGGCTGCTCAACTCGGAGGTAAGCGACGAGCCCTGCTTGTGGCTGCCCTAACCCCGGGCCCAGACAATTTGTCGCCTCCGTAGCACTCTTCTATCGCTACTACCACCGTGGTTGCTGTTGCCATGAATGCAACTCATTATTTCCTCCACCCATCTTCTTGGTTCTTTCGGTAAAGTCACGTAAAAGGGAAATAATAAAATAATAAAAATTAAACATATAAATAATTCTCACGACGTTTCGGCCACAACGCAAGCAGCCGTCCTCAAGTGAAGACTTTACCGAAAGAATCAAGAAGATGAATCCCTACAATCACGAAAGCTTTAAATCGAAATCCTCCACCCATGTTGAGGACTTAGTCTACCAGATTGTTTCGTCTCATCCACGTTCATCCATGCCCATCGTACTAATCTATACTCACCCATAGTCATCCATGCTCATCCATACTCACCCATACTCACCCATACTCACCCATACCCATACTCACCCATACTCATCCATACTCACCCATATTCACCCTTACTCACCCTTACTCACCCTTACTCACCCATGCTCACCCATGCTCACCCATACTCACCCATACTCATCCTTACTCACCCATACTCACCCATACTCACCCATGCTCATCCATACTCATCCTTACTCACCCATACTCACCCATACTCACCCATGCTCATCCATGCTCATCCATACTCACCCATGCTCACCCATACTCCCCATACTCACCCATACTCATCCTTACTCACCCATACTCACCCATACTCACCCATGCTCACCCATGTTCACCCATACTCACCCATACTCACCCATACTCATCCTTACTCACCCATACTCATCCTTACTCACCCATACTCACCCATACTCACCCATACTCACCCATACTCACCCATAGTCATCCTTACTCATCCATGCAGTGTTAAACCACTGCAACTGCAGGTCAAATCACTTACCTTTCTGATTGTTTTCTAGCACTGTTTGATTTTGTAATTTCCTCCCATCGTCCTTCTTTTGCCAAGTTCTTAAAATAACCTTGCTTAATTGAATAAACACATAAAATCTCTTCTGGCACATCTTCAACGGTGTTGTTTCTTGCTGGTCGCTAGGCATTTTTGGCCTTTGGACCTGTGCTCGGTCACTGCAGTGTACAGTTTTGTACATTTGCCAATCGCGATGCCCACCACTGTGCGTGTATCGGAAGTTCCGCCGTCACCACCGGGGTTTGTCTCCTGCGCAGGTGGTGGGGTTTGTGCCACCGGCAGACGGAGAGAGCGATTGCGCCGAGGCGTCGCAGGCCAAGTCGGAGGAGGAGCACGGCTCCACGCAGCCCTTGTGCAGCTCCATGGAGGAGTTTCTTCGGGAGATGGAGCAGGACCGACTGGTCAGACCTAGCATCCCCACTTATTTCTCCAGGATAAATAAAGATTCTGATTCTGATTCACTCACTCACTGACACATTTACCCACCTGTCCACTCGCTCACCTACCCTCCTATCCACTCACTAACCTACCATCCCACCCACTCACCTGTTAACCCATCAACTCACTCACTTGTCCACTCATTCACCCACAAGCCCAACCACCCGCTCGCTCACTTGTCCATTCGCTTACCCGTTAACTCACTCACTCACTCACCCGTTAACTCACTCATTCGCCTGTTAACTCACTCACCCATGTATTCTCACTCATCTTCCAAACAATTCATTCACCCACCCACTCACTCATCCTATCACTCAGCCACTCAATCACGTGGTTATCCAATTACCCACCAATTCACACACCCATCTCCCCACACTCAACTCCCACGTAGATACCGCCGCCTCGGTTGGAGGGCTACCAGACGGAGAGCAGCCGTGGCTCGGAGCTCTCCGACATCCTGGAGGAGGACGAGGAGGACCTGATGTCCGAGTCGGTGAAGCGCAGTGAGGCTCAGCGCCGACGTCTCAACTACCCGCTCAGGGTGAGGAGCAACCACACTCACTGTCACCATCACCACGACTCACGGCACCACCCAGACTCAAGGGACCACCCCGACTCACGGGACCACCCAGACTCACAGCACCACCCAGACTAACAGCACCACCCACACTCACAGCACCACCCAGACTCACAGCACCACCGAGACTCACAGCACCACCCAGACTCACAGCACCACCGAGACTCACAGCACCACCCAGACTCACAGCACCACCCAGACTCACAGCACCACCCAGACTCACGGCACCACCCAGACTCACAGCACCACCCACACTCACGCCACCACCCCGACTCACGCCACCACCCAGACTCACGCCACCACCCAGACTCACAGCACCACCCAGACTCACGGCACCACTTGGTGGATGAGGCAGCCAATCAGTGTGGTAAGCGGGCAATGAGACTCAAACTGTAGCTTGGAATAAACTTAGCACATTCGTTAATTACACTGGCCTATACCAGAATTATACGTTAATAAATCAAATACATTTAAGTGTACAATACTAGCTGACCTTTCGGCAAAAATATGCCTAATTATAAGTGAATGCCAGTGGAAAAAATCGGAAGGGTTTTGTGAAAGAGTATACATCGATTAAACGGTTGAGAGACGAATTGAAACCGGAGAAAAGATTGAACATAAAAACATCCAGATCCAGGAAATTCGGTGGACTAAGTAAAAAACAACTACTTGAATAAACAAATGCAATAGTGTGCAGCGCAGTGTAGTGTACTCAACAAAGTTCAAAGCTCTATCGATGGTTCCCACTGCGGTGGGTGCTGCTTCACGGTGAACTCGACGGTGCCCACTGCCGTGCGTGTGGCTTCACGGTGAATGCCAGGGTGAGGGCGGAGCCGAGCCCATGGCAGCTGGCCGCTCTCAGGCCGATGGCGACCAGCCTCGCCATGCTGCAGCTCACGTAGCCTTACTCATATTAATATACTCGTGCGTTATGTGTGATGACAAACTTACCGATGTCTTATTAACTTATTTTGCACTCATCCTTCCGTTGTGTTGTCACCCCGGTCGTTGGTGCTCTTGTTCCCTGTCCACAGCGATGTCTTCGGGGTGCCTCTCTCTCTGTGTTCCCTGTCCCCTCTCCGTCTCTACAGTCTGAGTTTTCTGCCGTTCGTTCGACCACGGTGCACCGCACGGAACGTTGCGCACGCCTCTGTTTTTTTTGCGTTATCCTAGCCGTGCGTGCGCCGTTGTTTGTCGTTTTGTGTCTTTCTGTCGGTGTGTGCGGCACTACAAGGTCAGTTCGGATCCTGTTTGCAGTCAACATCTTTTTTCCCCCACATCACTGGTTTTTCCGGCCCGCCCATCGAATAATTCGCTTTTTGAGCGTTGAGAGTGGTGTGGTCGTCATCTGCGAGCGGCACCGTCGCCCGCTTGCGCGAGCATTCTGATCGAGCCACTTGCGAGCATTCTGATGGAGCCACTTGCGCACGTGGTGAGTAGCGAGCGGAGGCTCTACCTTCCGCTTCCGTCTCACTCGACGTGTGGGGGAGCTCGCCGCTCACCAAGGGGTGGAACGATTTCTTTTCAGCCAGCAATTTGATGAATTGACACTTTTAAGGCTTGTAATTCGGTTCGAGAAATCGATTCTATTTTAACACGATTGTGGACGGTAGCACCTCTAGTGGCGGCACGGGTGACATGTACCCATGGCGCACACAAGTAGAACAACATCAATTCTTGCGCGCGAAATTCGACGCGCATATTGCGAGTAGCAGTCACCAATGGCAAATTAACAAGTCGGTGCGTTGTTCCATCCGTACGCACGGTGCACCCTGCCCGCTGTGAGTCTTTCGCGTGTGTTGGGCGCTTGTTGTGGGGTTTGCGATCACTGCGGAGGGGGGGGGGTCGCCGCTTATGCTGTCGATGTGCACGCCGTGGCGTGGGCGCGAGGAGGTGGGAGAGGGCTGCGACACGGACAGCGACGAGGAGAGCCTGGAGGCCGTGCTGGAACTGCCACTGCAGAAGCAATGCAGCAAAAAGCTTTTCAGCATCCCGGAGCTCACGGAGGAGGAGGAGGAGGATGACGAGGAGGAGGATGACGATGAGAAGGAGGAGGACGAGGAATCTGAGAGGGGCCTGAGGGATGCATTTGAGGAGTTAGCTGCTCCTCATGTCCCCCTTACTCCTGGTCGGAAACTCTGGCAGAAATACGACTGTCCCGGGAGAGTCAAATGTGGGAGTCCTGGGTGTTCAGGCCAAGTCCCCAGAGAAAGCCCCAAGCATTCCAGCAGAGTCAGAAAATCGAGCCCTGAGCTGCTTGGCATAGTCGCCCGGGAAAGCCCAAAGAATTCCTTCAGCATCGCCCACGAGAGCCGGGAGGTGTGGCCAGGGCTGGAGAAGATGGGCTGCACGGTGCAGAGAGACAGGTTCCTAAGACGCAGCCGCTTTGCACAGAAGCAGGCCGAGGCCGCGGTGGCGGAACGGGGCCACGCGGACGCCTTCACGGAGGACGTTCCCCTCGACAACGTTCCAGCGCTTCAAGGCCGAGAAGGGGCAGCGGCGACGCAGGCCGACCTGTGCCGCACTCCGAGCGACGGGGGCAAGCGGTCACACGAGCACAATCGGCGCAGCCCCAAGGCCAGGCCTCGAGCGGCGGAATGCCGCCACCCCACCAACGATGGGACGTCTGACGGGGAGAAGGAGCGGCCCGTGGCCCGCCGGCACGTCGAGGAGACGCACGGGAGGCCGGTGGCCGCGGCCGCCGCCTGGCGCAGTAGAAAGCGAGGGCTCACTCGGCAGAGCACGGTGGAAGAGGACTTCTCGGACACGGAGCGCGGATCCGAGATGGCCGGAGGGGACAGCAGTAGTGGCGGTGGCGGGCGTGGCGGCGGCAGCAGCAGCAGCACGGGAGACGCGAGTGCAACCGCGCTACCGGCGAGCCGGGCGGACCCTCGTGAGCGGGAGCGCAGTAGTGCCGCAAGGACTCGAGCCGTCGTGGCCTTTCGGCAGGAGCAGGTGTAAATAAAGTGGCAGACGGGGTTAATGTTGCAGGGCGGGTGAGGTGGGGAGGGAGGAACACTGCTGTCCGATCTGCCTGGTCCATGCCCCCATGCCCTGTCCCATCACCCCTTCTGACATACCCAAATGTGAGAGCCATTGGCCTGCGTTAAGTCGTAATGAGTGTCAATAGTGATTGTCGATGCTACCTCTAGAATATACGGAATGGATTTTTTTTGACAATGACAAAGAGGACAAATGAATGGGGTGGGGAGCAGGCTGGGCAGCTGTGTTATCTGTGCAAGTAGCCCCCTCATTTCTGGTAGATGAGAGTTAGTCTCTGTGTCTCGGTGAGAGGACGGACTGGGAGGTTATCAGCTGCCCTCGATGGGGCCCGTAAAGTTGACTCGTCGAAGCCTTTTCCAATTTTGCCACTTTTTTTGCTCAAATTCAACTTCTGACATGGTTCTAAAGGAAAGAACCCCACAAACAGATGAAAAATATCAGTTATTTTGACCTCAGAGATTACACAAAGAGATCAAATTTGGAGAGAACGAAATTGACGGCGTGCAAAACGCGAGTGTTAGATTTTGTATGCAGCTTTGTCGGTGAAGTTTACGCGAGTCAACTGACTGGGGAGACTTTGCCTCCTGGCCCATCCAGCACCACTTGCCTGTTAAGTTCTCAACGTGACCTCGGTACGATGTTCTACTTTTACACTTACCAATATAAATGCAAACTTTGCTTTGGACAACTACTTAAGCATAATAATAAAGGGTTTTAACATACAAAGTCTTAATTTCGAAAGGCGGTAAGGACTTAACAGGTAAAACCTTCCCTTGTCGTAGCTGACCTCCTGCCATTACCACCACCACCGGCGGCACCCGCCCGCTCACGGTTCGTGTTTTCTAAATAATCGCCGGCGACGACGCTACGAAAACACGGCTCCCATTCTACGCCCTGTAACCCACGTGCTGTGTCAGCGTCTGTCTTGTGTCCCACGTGCCGTGTCTGTGTCATGTTTTTTTATCTCATTCGCTTTTAGTTTGCGGTCCCTGTGTCTGTCCTCGTGCCCGCCGTCGTCACTGCCCTCTGTCCATTTGCATGCGCCCTCCCCCCCCCCCCCGCAGGGACGTTCCTCTGCAATGATCCTGTTTAGAGTACTTGCTGCTGAAGGATTTGCGTTTGGCCCCCGTAAATCCGTGGCCCAGTGGCTGGCCCCATGTCTCGTCTCTTCTCTCGTAAATTTCTGGGCAAGCGGAACCTTCATTGCAGAAGAACGCCTTCCCGTCAGCCCGTGGACAATTTAGGTGTTTTGTGGACAATTGTGCAATGCCATGAAGACCGCCATTTTCATAAACATCCGTGGTAAATGTGATAGTTTGGCTCAGTAGGACCACTTTCAACTCGCTGTAGAATTTGGTATGTTCACAAAGTCGTTTGTTCTTTTGTTCAAATCTTGGAGGGAGAAAGTGCACGTGCCATTTTATTCGGTTGACTTTTTTTCCCCCGATGAATTTCCAGGCATTTGGTAAAAATAGACATCTTGACCTTGAAGTGCACAAAGCTTGCACAATTAACTTAATTTGCGTATTCTGCAAAGAACGATAATTATCTCCATGTTTGATTATACGACGACAACAAGAATAACTAAAAGCAATTTGTACCCTTTCTAATTTTTTACCTATTGTCTCACTTGTTCTAAAACCCACAGCAGTTATGTAGCCATTTATTTTCATAATTTTAGGTTGTAAAATCGTTTCACTCAAGACAAAAGACGAACAAATTGCAAAAACGGTATTAGTCAGTGATTGCTCACTTTGTGGCTTTATCTGCACGAGTTAAAAAGTTCTCCTAGTGAGCCATGCAATTGTAATACAATATTCTGTATTATCTGACAAGTATGAGCCCTTTGCCATGGTTGCGACAGGTACGTTACAATTGTACGTGCAATATGCGTATGATTTTCCGTGCAAATCACCCAGAATGCACCTGATCTCATTCGATCTCTGAACATATTGAGGCTGTTGCCCAGATAGTGCTTGGATGGGTGACCTCCAGGGTCCTCCTGTAGACTCTGGGGCTACATGGTGGGCAGCAGAGGGCCAGTCCGGCAAAACCCCATTGTTATACTGCTCTCGTGTCTTTACTTCCCACTTTCGCCAGTGCACACTGACCAACGTGGTGGAGTATGGCCAAATAACCCCCATGACTCACATGGCACAGGGAGGCCCTCGTCTTAGCAGGGGATTTACGAAGGACCCTCAAAGAGTTTATGTAGAATGGAAAAAACAGTTAATTAAACTATACCTACATCTCCCCTTGTTTCTCTTTGGTACTATAACGATATATTGATGAAGTAACAATTTAATTACAAAATCTGTAAAATCCTGCGAGGAGGGCCGGATCTTCATATCCTCGTCGTGCTGTTTAGATGAAGGACGCTGACGCCGGTACCGGCGCTGGCAGACACGAACGGCCGTGTGTGACCATGCGTGTGCCGTGCCCCACAGCCAAAGCACGGAGACACGGCTCCCAGCGGCGATGCGCCGAGCGTCGCCCAATCGGCGCCCGGTGGAGATGCAGCCAAACCCGGCAACGCCTGCCCTTCTGCTGATGCAGGTGAAGCCACGCGCCTTGCTCTCGTTCTGTCACGGTATTCTAGTCTAGGGCAGTGGTGCACAACTGTTTTGTGTTGCGGCTCCTGCCCCCCCCCCCCCAATAAGACCACTGGTCCCCCATCCCCCCCACCCTTCACCCTCCAGCCCCCTGCTCCCCTAATAGGTCACATATCCATGCCTCTTGCTAATTCGGTGTTAGGCATGCATTTAGTTTCATGTTGTGTGTCGATGTGTTTGTCACCGCAATGTGACGCTGATGTTCCCCGAAAGGCTCATGGCTGCTCTAGTAGGGGTGTAACGAACCTTCTTTTAGTCGATTAAACCGCAATCATGAAAGCTCGCGATGCAAGCACCAAACTGCTCTTGCAAGAATCACTATTGCGATTCTATGTAAATGTTGCCTCTAGGTTAATGGATGGAAGAAAACTGTCCATAGATGGTAAATAACATCAAAGAAGACAAACTAGCTGGTAAACAGATGCCAAAACAATTCTATATTTTGATTTCATTGCGACCCTGAATCATGACAATTCATCGCATCGCCGGGGGGGAGTGAACGCGCCTAATACCCTGCGATGGGCATATCTGTGCTGTCACGGGTAGTCTGACAAACAAACACCCATTGCTTCCTCTACAGATTTAGAATGGACCGGACCTTCAACCGCATTTATAATTTTGTAAAAAATTGCAACGCCGTTTTCAGATGGGGAATTAAAACCGGATTGTAGTCTTGAGCCAAGCAGCCGGTGTCGCTCCGCGTGGCGCGGACAGTGTTGTGACGGTGCTTCGCGTCGCCGTGCACAGGGGTCCCCTGGACAAACCCCGGCGGCGCCGCGGAGAGAGGCCCCCAGGAGGGTGTCGTGCCCGTGAGAATCTTCGTCGCGCTCTTCGACTACGATCCCATGTCCATGTCGCCCAACCCGGACGCTGCCGACGAGGAGCTGCCCTTCCGGGAGGGCCAGGTCATCAAGGTGAGAGGGAGGGGCCAGGTCATCAAGGTGAGAGGGGGGGCCAGGTCATCAAGGTGAGAGGGGGGGCCAGGTCATCAAGGTGAGAGGGGGGGGGAGGTCATCAAGGTGAGAGGGGGGGGCCAGCGTCATCAAGGTGAGAGGGGGGGCCAGGTCATCGAGGTGAGAGGGGGGGGGGAGGTCATCAAGGTGAGAGGGGGGCCAGGTCATCGAGGTGAGAGGGGGGGGGGGAGGTCATCGAGGTGTGAGAGGGGGGGCCAGGTCATCAAGGTGAGAGGGGGGGGGAGGTCATCAAGGTGAGAGGGGGGGCCTAGTCAAGATGACAATTACACGAGTGTTTGGTACGTGGCAGGAAACCGATGTACCAGGAGAAAACACTCAAACCTCTGCAAAAATCTTTTATAAAAATCTATTGTTGCCCTACCATCTTCTGTCCACCTCTCCACCCAAGCCTACATCACTTGGTATTCCCAGACAGCCTCCCGTTCAAGTACGAGCCTCGTTTGGCCACCGCTTCTCTTCTAAACTGCGACGAGGTCGTTTGAAGCGGTTTACCATCAGCTTTTATCGACGCTCGTCTCTGCTCGCTGGAATCCCGTGAGATTATTCTTCCTCCTCCTCCTCCTCCACGATGACGCAGGTGTACGGGGACAAGGACGGTGACGGCTTCTACCTGGGGGAGGCAGGCGGCCAGCGTGGCTTCGTGCCCTGCAACATGGTGTCCGAGCTGCAGGTGGAGGAGCAGGCCGTGCTGCAGGAGATCCTGAGGCGCGGGTTCCTGCCGCCCGATGCGCCGCTCGACCAGATAGGTGCGCGGTGGGTGGGGTGGGGGTGGTGGGCGGTGGGACGGACGGACATGATTCCTGCTGTGCATCTATACCAGTCGTATCGTTTAAATGTTACAGCGCTTTTGTCAGTCCGCTGCCGGATGAGGGCCTCGGCAAGCCGTTGTCGGTCTTGGGGAGCTAAGTTTTACAATTCTGCGCCACGCTGGTCAGTGCTGGCTGGAGAAGGTGGGGAGCGTAGATGTGAGGGTCCAAGGGACTGTACGACAATGGATTGTTTGGCACTTCAGTGATATGGTCATAAGGCACAGGCTGCGTCCCGAGTGGAGAAAAACATCTCACCATGTTCGTCAATGCCGTTGCTTCCATTGCATCATCAGCTTTGATCTATCCGCTGCTGGACAGAGGCCTCCCTATGCTGTCCGCCATCTCTCGTGCTCATGAGTTGAAGCTCCATCTACTGCCTTCACACAGCTGATTTAATTTCTTCATCTGCATGGTCGATGCTCTCTCAAGTGTGTTCCCTCCTCTGGCTGCCACACCATTGTTAGCGATGACCACTGGCCATCATTCCTTCTAGCGATGTGCTAGTGCCCTGTGGTTCCAGAAGTATAGGACCATTAATACTTGAGCATTCACTTTTACAACTGACCTGTGTGTCATCGAATTTACACAATGCATGAACCACCTTGTCTCGCATCCACCTATGATTCGAGCTTTGGCAGGTACACTCGACATTTCGAATAATCCCTCAGATGAGATGACGTTCATTCAGTCTGGTTCTTAAATTTTGAAAGAGCCTCGCTTGAAACATGGCCGCTTTCTGTGTTTCCCATCCGCTTCCCATGGGCCTTTTGCGTGATTACCGTTTCCCATTTCTATTTTCCCTGTTTTCTTTTTCAGTCGCGTTAGAGTCAACTTGGGAGGAAAAAGATCGAGAAGGTTTGTACCTGTTCGGCGGATTGATGATTAATTCATTCATTCGCCCCCACTCAATTGTCTGCGTTTCACTGCGGCGACGGCGACGGCGACGGTGGAGTGGTGGTGGTGGTGGTGATGACGGTGCCGTGCCGTGTTCTCTGCTGCCGCAGGGCTGGACGGGCGAGGCTGCTGGCAGGCGGGGGTCACCGCTCGCCGCATGATCGCCCTGTTCGACTACGACCCCCGGGAGAGCTCGCCCAACGTCGACATCGAGGTAAGATGTCGACGGTGAGGGCATCCAGGGTGGCGAGATGTTAACTACCTCGCCTGGTATGCAGGAGTTTGTGGGTTCGATCCCCGACCCTGACGCATGTATATTTGGAGTTTGCGTGTCTCTCTATCTCCCTGTGGTCGTGTGGATTTTTCTTCGGGTCCTTCGGTTTTTCCCTCCACATTTATAGCCATGCATTTAGAGTATTTGGCTACCGCTATAAATGTCCACGTGATAAGCCACTTCGTTGAGCTATCATTTGTGGCCAGATTACTTCTGAAATTGAGCGAAATAGCTCAGTGTGGAGAAATCCTCCTGTTTCGTTCCTTAAATACATGCCAATAAAGCATTCAGATGTCTGCCTGAATTTATAAACATGAAAATAACAGTGGATGATTCAAAGCCGCAACTTATTGACGAAATAAACATTGCAAGAGTGATGGTCGTTCCGCCGAGTTATTCTCTTACTCCACAGTGCGGTGAACTTTTTAGGCAAGAAACGCTTTGGCTTCTGATAATTGCTTTTTTACCCTTCTATCTGGCAACAAAACTGACACCTTTTTTACAAGGAGTCATGTTTACATAGACCACAATACCTGCAGTCATAATGCAAACAAAAAACAACTCTGATAATGTATGCACTGTCCTTGAAGTTGATTGGTCCACACCCGAGACAGCTTTCCTTAGAGCCTAGTCTCACATGGGTTGGACCAGATGACGCCAAAAGGCGCACAACTCAAAGACAATGCACAATCAGAGTATGAGAGCTCGGGGTAAGCATTTACACCATTGGAACCTCATTTGCCAGTAAAAATATGATAATTGGTTTGTTACCCTTCTATCTTGCAACAAAACTGACACCTGGCAAATGAGGTTCCAATGGTGTAAATGCTTACCCCGAGCTCTCATACTCTGATTGTGCATTGTCTTTGAGTTGTGCGCCTTTTGGCGTCATCTGGTCCAACCCATGTGAGACTAGGCTCTAAGGAAAGCTGTCTCGGGTGTGGACCAATCAACTTCAAGGACAGTGCACATTATCAGAGTTATGTTTTTGTTTGCATTATGACTGCAGGTATTGTGGTCTATGTAAACATGACTCCTTGTAAAAAAAAAGGTGTCAGTTTTGTTGCTAGATAGAAGGGTAAAAAACCAATTATCATATTTTTACTGGCAAATGAAGTTCCAATGGTGCTTTGGCTTCTGTTTACAATGAGACGAATGCTCGGATTTGAGGAGGTCACCATCTCATCCAAGAAGGGACTATGTGTGTCATTGGGGAGAATGCAGCCCTGACAGAGGCCGCAAGGTCAATGAGAACCGATGACATTTAACAGAGGCAAATCAAAAGAATCGATTTTACACTGACGAATCGAGTCGCGTTTCACGGGCGCAGGAGACGACTTTGATCGATGAATTGTTCTGTTTCGACTGCCTGGTCCCACAGGTTGCTTCGAGTATAAAATAATAAAACTCCAGCCACCGATAATACAGGCACACAGGATGAACTAACTCATTAATTAGAAAACAATTGGTCCTACCTTCTGCTCATAATATTTTTTGTTGCCAATTGGAATAATTTTCATCATGGGTTATCCAATGGAAATGCTGATAGGGTTTGTTATAATCAATGCAGCAGAGTGTTAGCACTGAAGACAGGGATTGATTGGCCATGCTAACGTTACGAGATCTTCCGTGCCCTTTCCTGTCACCCTCCGTGCGTTGCAAGGCCGAGCTGAGCTTCACCGCTGGGGACATCATCGCCATCTATGGAGACATGGATGAAGATGGATTCTACTTTGTGAGAAGCCACTGACATCAACGAGGAGCATAAACCATCACGCACACTGCGGTCATGCTAACCATCGAACCAAGACGGGCACCGCATCGCGCGCTTTGAGATGCGCTTCTACGGCCGTCTGGAACGCTTTTCCATCCGATATCAGGAAGCCACTGTAGATATGCACTTTTAAATCATCTAGATTGAAAACGAATTTCTATAGAACTGCTTTTTGTGTTTAGTTTGTTGTCCTTCCCCCGCACCTTCGATTAGTACGGTTGGTTACGTACGTTGCAAAAGGAGTTCAATATACATACAACATACATACATCATCATTGTCGTGCATACATCGTCGCACATACATCATCACAAATGCTTCGGTTTAGCAATGAGTTAGTAAATTAACCTATACCATCTATCTGTATGTGTGCCGTGACCTCCTGCACCACTTCACATGGCCTCAAAGTGAATCTGATGTGGCAGAAGTGCCAAGGTGAAGTCACTACTACTCAGTGGCTATTGTTGACAATCTGGTTCATTTAATAAATAATCCTCGAGGACAGAGATTATGAGCCATGAGCACAGCATGGTAGTCTATGATTTATATTGGAGTTATGAATCTATTTGGCTAATGATGGGATTACTGACTGTGTGTGTGTGTGTGCCCTGTTGCACAGGGAGAACTGAACAGCCAGACTGGTCTCGTACCCTCCAACTTCCTGGAGGAGGTGCCAGGAGACTTGGAGGTAGCACTGTCCATTCCTGATGAGAGAGAGGCTGACAACGAACAGCAGGCAAGTGGTGGCTGCTCTGTGAAATATCTGATGGGATAATTAATCTCGTAAAATATGTATACGTATAAAAAACCCAACGCAAACCAATCATTAAACAAAGAACAATTATGTTATCGGATGCACGGGCAAGCACGCGTGCGGCGGAGGCAGTCGGATGCTTGCCGCTGCATTTGACACGTGCTCATTCTCAACCATCCGTAGGCGGAGAAAGCGGCAGAAGAGGCAATGCAAGACGAGAGCCGAGCGGGCGATCACGAGGACGCGCCGCTCGACGGCAAGGCGGCGTGCGCGGCCGAGGCCGCCCGGCCTCCGGCGGCGCCGCAGCCGCCGAAGGCCGAGGGACCACCGGCCGAGGGACCACCGGCTGAGGGAGCGGCGGCGGCGGCGGCAGCAGGGGGGGGTGGGGGTCGCAGTGACGAGGAGGCGAGCGCGGAAAAAGCGTCCGCCCTGCTGTCATCGCCGGCCACGTCCGGCGGCGGGTCCCCTAAAACGCACGGCTCCTCCTCCAGCCCCGCCAGCAGCCTGGAGGGCTCGCCGCGCAAGAAGAAAGGGCTTCTTCTCCAAGGGCAAGTACCTCCTGAAGAAGCTGGGACCCAGCAAGAAGCAGTGAGCACGCGGCTTGCAGATGCCACCGAGGGCCCAGTTGGTGAACGGTGGCACGGCTTCTCCATGCTGCTCCGGGTTTGTATTCGACGCCGCGCGGTGCCCTACGATGGGACCTTGTCGACCACCAGTACGTGCACTTTCCTCTGTCAATCCATTGGCTGGATGACGGCGTCCCAAGGTCGTGCGGGTCGTGCGGGTCGTGGGGGTTATTTTATGATGCTCTGCCACCTGGGTCAGAGGAGGTTGGTATAGGCTGGGGGTATAGGTGGTTGGAGCATAGAATAACAGTCCAACAATGTATTTTACTGCAATGTTCCTTGCTGCCCAAAATGTAGCCCTTCAGCTGCAGTAAATCAAATTGAAATATAAAGAGATGTTTTAATGAATCAAACTTTCATGCGATTATTATCTTGTAACGCGACAAAGATCTAAATTGTGTTATGAAAGAAAAACAAAGACGAGCCAATTCGCGTGTTATTTTACTCTGGCCAAAAGAGAGAAAGCAAATGTTTTTTTGAAATGGTTCGATCCTCGCCAAACACGACATTGAGCCCAGCCACGCTTAGAAGAGCAAGAAAACTCCTGGTTCAACAGTTGGAGTAGTCGTGTTGATGGTGACACAACACGTGGAGACGACTGCTAGTGTGATGGGTTTTCTTCTAAAACTCATGGATTTTCTCACTGAAGTTGGTGATTTTATTTTCACCCTGACACACGCACTCCACCCGCAGTGTTAATGGTGAGATGGTGCCATTGCAACTTGGAACAAACTGTCGGCAATTCCCTTTGCATGGCAGTATCGCAAAAATGACAAGACAGTAAAATGAATCGGCACCTGAAATGATTGCTGAAAAATCTAACCTGCTTAGAACTTTCACCAAACAGATGCCCTCCGGCCACTGCCAAGTGGCCTCCCAACAATGATCATTCCTCGCCAACATAGCAGGGCTCTTAACAGTTTACAAGAGTAAAACAAAAATAACGTGAGAATCTTGTTGAAATTCACTCGGGGCAAAAACAAACACGGCAAGGTAAACGTCTTGGCTGCTCAGCCACTTCACCAGGACTCTGCTGAGCTGCACTGATGACGATGGCGATGACGATGACTGACTTAATTCCCAGTGGGAATTCTATTCTTTCCCCAACGCCTCCTCCAGCCACCACTGTTTTAAGTCGTGGTCCTTCGTGGACCGTTGTCTCTCAGTGCAGGTGGACTCCAGCCAGAGGAGCATTTGTTCAAGGCTGGACACCGTCTGAAATGGACTTTCGCCGTCGCCCAACGGCACAGGAGACGGTCGTGGACCTCGCCAACAAAACGCATTGGTGTTTGTTTTGTGCATTCTAATGTGGTGGGCTGATGGGCCATCGGCAGACAGCCACCGTCACGGTCCTCACGCTTTGTTGAAGGCCTGGAGCTTTAAAAGGGTGTATCAAACAGTGCCGAATCATCGGATGTGAAACGTATCAGCACGCCGTGTTTTTTTGCCACTTGTTGCTGTCACCGCACCGAAGTGGATGAGATTGGGAGTGGAATATGGCGCTCTCACGTTGTCATCACTCGCAATGGTTCTGCGATAAATATACTCACAATGGTGCTCTCCACATTGGCACCACACTGCACTATGGAGCATTCCTTTTCATTATGTTTATAATTTAAATAACACCGCATTATATCATAAGCTGTATATAGAGTCGGGGTTGCGAAATGCGACTAAAGTACCCAGAAGGGAATATACCAGGAGGCAAAGCGTTGCGTTTTTGGTAGCCGTAGAAGTTGTAACATGTATTATTTATTTAATTCAAGGACGTTGTCAGAGCTGGTCTGCAGGGAAGTGGTCACAACCCAGATCCACGATTGCTGAGAGTTGTGAAGAGCAGGACAGATTGTCAATGCCGGAAGATGCCTCAGAGATGTGTATCCATGTGCAGCGCATTGTCAGACCACTGCTGGGTGAGAACCTCCGGCCCATGTGCAAAGGGCTCTGGATATCTGCTGCACCGCCCTCTGTTGCCCCCCACGTCGACCATAATTGCTACCCATGCAAACATTATCCAGATTAAAATACCCTGCTTAGCTTGCGAAGGTCTGGGCACATTGCGGATGATTTAGAAATACTGTATAGAAGGTCTGGGCACATTGCGGATGATTTAGACATACTGTATAGACCTCAGACATGGAATTTACTGAAAGGAGCAAGCAACTCTGTCATTTGCTATGGGACAACTTGCTCAAGGATAGGCCCTTACACATCCATAATGGGGGTGTCCCATGATATTCCCCTTATATGCCAATCAGGCGTGGAAGGCTGCATCCATTCCTTGATTAAAGTTGATTCCAACTTGATTAACGTAAGAATAAACAATTGACAATGTATTTTAAAGTATCTGCTAATGGTTCAGTTAGGTTCATGGGTGGACAAACAAAACTGTACGCGACAGAAAAAAAACCCAGCAAAGAGGATGAACATGGAGGTAGAAATATGCAGAGGTTAATTGATTTCTAATCGAATCGCGACCCTGAATTGTAACAATTCATCAACTCACTCAAGGAGCGAATCGTAACATACCTACCGCCTGTGATGGGAATATCTGTGCGATGACGGGTGTCTGACACAAACACGCATTGTTTTCTTCATCCGTGGAGAGGGACCAGACCTTCAGCACGATGGCCACCATTCTGCTTGCTATTGTGAAGAGTGGTGGCGGAGCTATTGAGTGTGCAGGCAGTGCAACTGCACCAGGGCCCACGGGCTTCAGGAGAGCCGAGGCATCGGGCTCCAGAGAGGAGGCAAATTCTAAAAGGGGGGCTCCATTTTAGTCATACACCAGGGGGGCCCATGTCAATCACACTACACACTACTGGTGAAGGTTTTTTTAAATTACATGTCCATGCAGTCTTCTTCTCGCTCAGAAGGGTGTCCCGCAAACCCGCGACTGACCAAAGTGTAACAATTAGGTTGCTCGTGATAACTACTTGCGTGATCATACATTGACAATTAACATTGATCCGTGCGCTCACGATACACTCGTGCATATAAACTAAAATATTTGATTAATAAAAAAAAATTCTCAATTATATTTTAATGTGTTCGCGTGACCCCCTATAGCCACTAGATGCGCTAAATTCATATCTTAAAATAAAATTGTTACATGTCTATTCGGTGGTGGATAAGATAATGGGGGAAATGGGTCGGTTGGTCAGAAATGAAGACCGCACAGTGTAGATTGATTCACGCAAACGTAACTCCTCTACCCTACTCAGCCCTTGAAGAGATGCAGTGCTGCACGGCTTGTGCTCATAGTTTACAGTGCACCGATGCATCATCGATCGCTTCTTCTTTATAGAGAGGGGCGCTTGTGTTTTTTCCCGCACGCTGGACCTGGAATGTGGAAGGATTTGAACTCGGGGGTCCTCTCAAGCCTGGCAAAGGCACTCGGTCATTGAGCCATAACTGCCACCGCCGCTGCACTTACACACATCGATGGCGGTTCCAATCCCTGTACCAGTCATGACTGTAACTGCGTTATTGATATGTACCAAACTGTTCCCGCTTGTAGTTGTCTTTGTCTCTGCTGCGCAGATATTAACACAGCACAGTGATGACACAGAGATGGGAATCATCCCCTGCTGCATGTCAGCAGACAATCTGTGGTGGTTCCCATCTCCGTACAAGGTCATGACTATAACTGCGTTGTTATCCCGGTGGGTACTGCAGTTTACTTGGTTCCTGCGGCAGAGGTAGATGGGGGGGGTGACTCCCAAGAGCACAGCATTGATGTCTATCTATTGCTGAATACTTTGTGTGCTTGTAGCGATGTAGAGGCTGGGTAGCGAGGCTCTTGTGTAAAGGTCCCCCAGCGCTGCTCCGTACGCACGGGTGAGCACACTTATTAACAGGGTTCGCATCTGCTGGCAACCGCGGCGGCGTGCTCTCGCTTTGGTTGTGGCAGTAAGCGCACATTTTGTGCATCACAACGGCATTGCCTTAGTGCGGGGGGGGGGGGGGGGCTGTCTTTGCCTTGGAGGCATTCCCAGGGGATGTCGAAGGAAATAGCCGGTGTTGAAGGAAAAGCTTGCGTCGAATGTTTAAGGACCGTGGGGAGGGCAGGCCACAGTTCAGTGAGGGTTGCTTAGTGCCAAGCGCTTGCCCCCCCAAAACGGCGAGTCGTGTCCGGCTCCCAAAAGTGCCAAAATCCCTAAGGGCCCCAGCCGGCTTTTGGGACGTGGGGGCTTTCTCTTGGTAGGATTGTTTGTATTAGAGGATCCTCAGTTTTGTATTTCTTGCCATGAGATATTGCCATACATACGTTCCAGGTGAAGAGAAGTGTCAAGAGAAGAAAGTATTGTTGTGGCTTTTTTCCAAACGGACAAGTGCTCTCGCTGGGTTGGGGAGTTTGTAGTTTTTGGCAGTGATGTTTTTGTGGACCTATTTTATAAACAATTGTTGCCATTTGGCTGAAGTTAATGCTGAATTTTAATTTTGCAAACTCTGTTCACAGTGTATCTACCGTACGTGGGGTGTAGCGGCAATTAAGCTCTCAGAGCTGTAGTGACTAAGTCTGGGATTAGCACCGGTGGTTTGGAATGAAGCCACATTGACCGATAGACATCATAGACCACACACCTAAAAATCGATAACCGTACAAGTCTGAAAAATGAAATTAATAAGTACATTCAATTAGCGACCTATTGAAATTAATGAGCCGTTCAAGTGCCATTATGTCAAGAGAGATTATTTTCAAAAAAAAGTTACGTTTTGAGAGTTGCGTTTTTTTTTCCACAATATTTTCAGATCGAGTACAATTGTTGTAAGTGTTTTTTTTTACATGGCGTGTGCGTGCGTGAGTAATTTGTAACGTGTTTGTGTAAATTTTCGTGTTCAGGCAGCGTGTTTTATTGCTGTGTGCCCTTTGTGAGTTCTCAGTGTAACTGACAATGGGTCGCACAGCTGGAAGTTGCAGTAGTCTCCATGTACATACACTGCACCCATTTGACTGCTTTGAGCCAAAATAAAGTTTTACATTTATTTTTCAAACGTTCGTTTTCATTTGTTGTCATGTAATGTTGTTCGTATTGTGAGGCACAGCTTCTGGTTTCTGCATTTTTTTTTTGCCAAATCACCGCTTATGTGATAACAGTTTTAAGAGTCCACTCTGCCCCAACAGTTTCTCACACGGGCTACTAATTATTTAACCATTGTCATTAAGGTTACCTTAAAATAATAATGTACAGCCCTTTGTCAATGCACTGACAGATGAAGGGCTCATATTCTTAGGTTTTTTCGGTAAAGTCACGTAGGTAAAAAATTAAAATTTATAATAAAATAAAAATCACGACGTTTCGGAAGCAACACAAGCTTCCGTCTGCAGGTGGAACAGTCACAGCACGATAGCTGTATCAAGTGAGAGAAATTACAGGAAAACCGTATTTTTATATATACTGGTTGACGGTGGGAGGAGCTAAGGTAGGCCCTGCATATTATTTTTGTGAGGTTCGGTGCGCCAGAAGCACGCTGCTAGGAATGAGCCTTTGTTGTGTAAACTAGGTGCGGATGATGTAAAGGTGCATGTAAAAGGGACTGAGCCTTTTTGTTACGTAGAGATGATGGGCTCCCCACAATTGATTGGTGGGGGAGAAAGTTGCTTCACCACCTCTGATCAGCACGGTTGGCTACATACAGTGTGAAAGAAGTTCAACATACATACAAATACATACCATACTTTATCACGATGATCACACGCGCCGGGTCGCGGTGAAGCGTGGCTGGGAATCGAACACAGGTAACCCGGCTTCCCAACCCACCTCGTTATTGTGAGGCTGGTAAAGTGCGTTTCCGATTTTGCTCATGCAACAAACCTCTTATCAGTGCAGCCCCATACATGGCTTTGCGGATCTCTTGACGATGGAAAGAGATGACATTCTGCGTGCGCAATTGAGATTAATATTTTATTGTTGCCCTCAAAGCACATAAATTACACGAAGCGCAGATTTGCGTCCGCAGCTAAATTACAGTAGGCATTAAGCAACGTTGTTTGGAGATGCTCTATGTACATTACCTTTGCTGCTAAGATTACAAGGCACCCATGCCCAATACTTGACACCCTTACCCAAGCTGCACTCCAGCTAACGATAGAACAGTACAGGGATATAAAATGGTTTACAATATTTAAAATAAGGCTTTTACAAAAAAAAATACTCATTATTACTCTCAGTAAAACGTTTAAATAATTGTGCTTTACAGCATTAACAGTTTCAGTATTCAAAGACTGAAAGAAAACGAGGATCCTTAGAACCAGCTGCGGTACCTTTTAAGCCACGTGTATTTGTGAACATAATTCATTGTATTTACATGGATCATTGACTGCTAAATGTGCTGTGGGTGACATAAAGCAGAAGCCATTTGGCTGTCGATCATGACCATTGCATTTCACTTATGAGGAAAGGAATTATAGATCACTTAAGGTCATACTGATAATTAAGCACAATTATGATGCTGTCAATGCAAAGTGCCAAGCCTAGTTACTATAACAATATTTTTTGGTGTGCCGAATGTGTGTACATGTGCATATACCTGCATGCACACAGCAAGGCTCTACTGTGCCGGCCTTACTAGGTGCTTGCTAACAGCACTTGCACCCGATGTGCAGTACGATTATAAGCCGGTCGCAACTCAAGAGTAGCACGGCTGGATACGTACGGTGCTAAATAAGTTCAACATACATACATTGACGCATACATTGACGCCCATTTACATACATACATGCGTAAGCATTGACGCACAACAACAATCTATCACCATTCATTCTGGCACCACAATCTGCGACGCCTCTTTCCTCTTCACAAGCGAGCCCAGAAGCATAACAAAAACATTCTCGGAGTAAAATGAAAACAAAGCATGCAACTCTCGCACGTGTTTTCTGGGTGTGCCGTGTGTTGTTCGGAGAGATGTCTGCCATGTTGCTTCCCGGTGCCGGTAGCTTTTTCGGGAAATTAATTCAAGCTCCCAGCACATGCAGCGAAATGTCAGACATCGTGCCGAACAACAACACGGCACAACTCGAAAGCACATTCGATAGCCGTACAGGACAGACAGAAAATCCATTGCAGCAGCAGTAGTAATCACACGTGTTTGCAGTGGAGGTGACTATCCCACGCCATAAATGCGGAGTGTGAAACATTTCCGCCAAAATCTACACGCACAAGACGGTAGCGGGCGAGTCGTAATCGTCCTGTGCATCGGCCAAAAGTGCGTCATCGGGCAAGCTGGAGTCCACCGTGTCGACAGAGTCACCAGACACGAAGGGAGGAGGGTGCTGCAGGCCAGGAGAGTCCCAGGAAGGCGAAAGAGGCCCTGGAGAAAGGGGCCACGGAGAAAGGGGCTCTGGAGAAAGAGGGCACGGAGAAAGGAACCCTGGCGAAAAAGGCCCCGGTGAGAGGCAATCGGTGGCGTCTACGGTGTCCAGCGCTTGCAAGTTGCCGTCACCGATCGGGGACAGGCAGCGTGTGGGGCTCAGCAGCGTTTCCTTGCCGAGTGCAGCCGGGATGAGCACCTGCAGCCAATGCCGCATCAACTTCTGGCTCTCGGCGGCAAAGTAGAGGGTGCGGCGCGACTGCACCATCTTAAACGCATGCTGCGCCTCGATGTTGTCCGCCGGTTCAACGGGGCACACCTCGTACCCCGGCAGCGGGAATGTGGCTTGCGCCTTCACATCCTGTGGTGATGGTGGTGATGGTAGAGAAGGTTAGCGCCAGCTCTGAGCCACTGCACAGTTTTACACAGTATTTAAGGGGTATAGTTTATGGAAAATTAAATAATGATTGATAGACCTTTCACAATCCACATTTAGATGAAGGACACGCTATGCAAGGGTGGTATTGGGGGGTGCTTGACGGTAGTTCGCCACGCCGCTCAGTGATGGTTGGTGCTGCAGGGGAACCCATGACCAGATTGGATGTCACTTGACACTGATGTTAGCCACGGCTGGGAATCAAACTCGGGTAACTGGGTTCAAAGTGCAGCGTGCTAATCAATGTGCCACCCTCGGGCCAACAGTTTATGTAAACTGAAATAATATTTCACATTGTTCAGATGTATTTCAATGTTTCACTGCTCCATTGTAAGCCCCAAGGGATCTGGGTTCATCAAAACTGTTCGTACCAAAATAACGTTTTTCAACTTGAATCGAATTGTGAAGATTCCATGTATGTAACGAATGAGAGTAAATAGGGGGACTGAACGTTCAAAGACGGACAATACAAATGAGACGGCACAAACGGGTTGGTTGCTAAACCGATCCATAACAATGCATCGAACGTCCGGGGGAGGTGAATTGTCACGTGTCCGTTGCGCTCACCTGCGGGGCTTTGTACAGGTAGAGAACGAGGGGTTCGCTCGTGGGGATGACGAACCAGGCTTTCTTCCATCCACGTCCGCTGTTCTCTGTGTAGTTCAGGAAGCTGCGCATGATGCTGTTGTCCGACATCTCGGCTCCTTGGCGCTGAAAAGCGAGGCGCTGCGCGTGAGTGCGGGCACTATTCACCACGTAGTTGCCACACGGACGAAACAGGGAATTCTTTGCAGTGAAGCGAGCCTTGGCTCAGTGCAGACGAGAAGATGACCAGGCTTTGGAATCAGCATCGCACGTTGCTTGTTGAGCCACCACCAAGAGGTACATAATTAGAATTATGATTCTGCCGCAAAAATGTTATCAGTTTGTTGGAAAGGGAGATTTTATTTAGACTGCCCTTGTCAATCATCTACTGGACGAAGGTCTCCCCATGCCATGTCAAGTCATGGGGGTTGTCTGACCGCACTTCACTATGCTGGTCAGTGAGGGGTTGGTGAAGGGGTTACACAGATCCGATGCAAATACCACTCGCCACTTGTTTTAGCCGTGGCTGGGAGAATTTATCTCATGCTGCTGGGTTCATAGTGCAATTTCTGAACTCATGAGCAACTGCTACACCCTCGGACAGGGAGACAGTTGTTGATAATGCCAACTATGGGAAAGTAAATGTTTGGATTTTCCAATTCCTACATATATTTTGTGAAAAGTAGAATCTTATTGGGTTTTTTTCCTTACAAATCAAAATATTAAACACATTATTTATACTTATTTTAAAGTCTCCATTTTACCTCCGCAGAGGTGAAATATAGGCAATAGGAAGGCTGCAGGTTATGTTTTTTGGACATATGCGTACATTAATGAAGACCCGTGGTTATGGTGCTTACAACAGCCGTTTATATTCTTGGTTCTTTTGGTAAAGTCACGTGACTTTACCGAAAGACCCAAGAAAATTAATCTCTGCAGTCACACCTGATGATGATTGCTTGTGTTGCAATCGAAACGTCGTGAGAAGTTTATTGTTTTATTTTTATTATTTTATTATTTACCTTCTACGCGATGACTTTACCGAAAGAACCAAGAATATGAATCGCCACACTTGAGAACCCAGTTCAATCACAAGCGGCTGATATGTATATATGTTGAACTTCTTTCGCACCGTACACAGCCAACCGTGCTAATCTGAGATTCAAACCCTGGATCTCAGTGCTGCCTGCTCAGTGGCCTAAACTCCCGAACCACCCGGTCAGCATGACCGAGGGCGATGCAGCAGTGTGGAGTTCGGCGTTTTCTCGTTGCCTGGCACTTCACTTTGTCAATGTTGCCCAGGAGAGGAGAGAGCTGCCTTACCTGCAGGACATTCTTGCTCTTCTCCTTGGGGGTGGTGTCCACCTCGCACCGGTTCCCCCGTGCGGACAGGATTTGGTTACACTCGGTGCACACGCGGTTGAATTTCCCGGGCTCGTACTCCAGCTCGGTCTTGAAGTCGGAGCATTTCCAGCACACCACCTGCAGGAGCAGCCAGCGTGGGCGATGAGGGCGCATCACTATCATCGGCATCTCGGTGTGCGTCGCCACCATAGGCAGCGGGTGGCTACAGCTGACAAGACTCGACCACCTCAAACCTGTAACCAGCTGTTCAGTTCAAACAGCCCATAGAGTCAACAAGAGCCAGACTTGGCGAGAGAGTAACAAGGTCAGCGCAAATTTTGCGAGGTTATTTAATTCAGTGTGCCTCTCTCCCTGTCTCCTCATTTTTACAACCTTATTTCAGCGTGCCACTCATTGACATGCTAATTTCTCTAACCCCTCCCTCTCTCTCCGCCCCCGCCCCCGCCCCCTCTCTCTGTTTAAGGCCTCGACACAGAGGCGTGGTTTCTCTGTGTGCCTATGTATCTCTGTTGATATCTGTCTCCACTTATATGTCTGTCTATATGTCTCTGGTTCTGTGTTTTATCTCTCAAATTTAGCATTCTCAGGAAGAACGTAATAAACCAGGTAGGGTGTTGACTGTTATGTTATCCGACTCTCTGTTGTATTACATTACATTTCTAAGTATACTAGATTTGTCTACACTATGGGGACCTCATTTGCCAGTAAAAATATGATAATTGGTTCTTTACCCTTCTATCTGGCAACAAAACTGACACCTTTTTGCAAGGAGTCATGTTTGCATAGACCGCAATACCTGCAGTCATAAATACAAACAAAAGACATAACTCTGATGATGTGCACTGTCCTTGAAGTTGATTGGTCCACACCCGAGACAGCTTTCCTTCGAGCCTAGTCTCATATGGGTTGGACCAGATGACGCCAAAAGGCGCACAACTCAAGGACAATGCACCATCAGAGTATGAGAGCTCGGGGCAAGCATCTACACTATGGGGACCTCATTTGCCAGTAAAAATATGATAATTGGTTCTTTACCCTTCTATCTGGCAACAAAACTGACACCTTTTTGCAAGGAGTCATGTTTGCATAGACCGCAATACCTGCAGTCATAAATACAAACAAAAGACATAACTCTGATGATGTGCACTGTCCTTGAAGTTGATTGGTCCACACCCGAGACAGCTTTCCTTCGAGCCTAGTCTCATATGGGTTGGACCAGATGACGCCAAAAGGCGCACAACTCAAGGACAATGCACCATCAGAGTATGAGAGCTCGGGGCAAGCATCTACACTATGGGGACCTCATTTGCCAGTAAAAATATGATAATTGGTTCTTTACCCTTCTATCTGGCAACAAAACTGACACCTTTTTGCAAGGAGTCATGTTTGCATAGACCGCAATACCTGCAGTCATAAATACAAACAAAAGACATAACTCTGATGATGTGCACTGTCCTTGAAGTTGATTGGTCCACACCCGAGACAGCTTTCCTTCGAGCCTAGTCTCATATGGGTTGGACCAGATGACGCCAAAAGGCGCACAACTCAAGGACAATGCACCATCAGAGTATGAGAGCTCGGGGCAAGCATCTACACTATGGGGACCTCATTTGCCAGTAAAAATATGATAATTGGTTCTTTACCCTTCTATCTGGCAACAAAACTGACACCTTTTTGCAAGGAGTCATGTTTGCATAGACCGCAATACCTGCAGTCATAAATACAAACAAAAGACATAACTCTGATGATGTGCACTGTCCTTGAAGTTGATTGGTCCACACCCGAGACAGCTTTCCTTCGAGCCTAGTCTCATATGGGTTGGACCAGATGACGCCAAAAGGCGCACAACTCAAGGACAATGCACCATCAGAGTATGGGAGCTCGGGGCAAGCATCTACACTATGGGGACCTCATTTGCCAGTAAAAATATGATAATTGGTTCTTTACCCTTCTATCTGGCAACAAAACTGACACCTTTTTGCAAGGAGTCATGTTTGCATAGACCGCAATACCTGCAGTCATAAATACAAACAAAAGACATAACTCTGATGATGTGCACTATCCTTGAAGTTGATTGGTCCACACCCGAGACAGCTTTCCTTCGAGCCTAGTCTCATATGGGTTGGACCAGATGACGCCAAAAGGCGCACAACTCAAGGACAATGCACCATCAGAGTATGAGAGCTCGGGGCAAGCATCTACACTATGGGGACCTCATTTGCCAGTAAAAATATGATAATTGGTTCTTTACCCTTCTATCTGGCAACAAAACTGACACCTTTTTGCAAGGAGTCATGTTTGCATAGACCGCAATACCTGCAGTCATAAATACAAACAAAAGACATAACTCTGATGATGTGCACTGTCCTTGAAGTTGATTGGTCCACACCCGAGACAGCTTTCCTTCGAGCCTAGTCTCATATGGGTTGGACCAGATGACGCCAAAAGGCGCACAACTCAAGGACAATGCACCATCAGAGTATGAGAGCTCGGGGCAAGCATCTACACTATGGGGACCTCATTTGCCAGTAAAAATATGATAATTGGTTCTTTACCCTTCTATCTGGCAACAAAACTGACACCTTTTTGCAAGGAGTCATGTTTGCATAGACCGCAATACCTGCAGTCATAAATACAAACAAAAGACATAACTCTGATGATGTGCACTGTCCTTGAAGTTGATTGGTCCACACCCGAGACAGCTTTCCTTCGAGCCTAGTCTCATATGGGTTGGACCAGATGACGCCAAAAGGCGCACAACTCAAGGACAATGCACCATCAGAGTATGAGAGCTCGGGGCAAGCATCTACACTATGGGGACCTCATTTGCCAGTAAAAATATGATAATTGGTTCTTTACCCTTCTATCTGGCAACAAAACTGACACCTTTTTGCAAGGAGTCATGTTTGCATAGACCGCAATACCTGCAGTCATAAATACAAACAAAAGACATAACTCTGATGATGTGCACTGTCCTTGAAGTTGATTGGTCCACACCCGAGACAGCTTTCCTTCGAGCCTAGTCTCATATGGGTTGGACCAGATGACGCCAAAAGGCGCACAACTCAAGGACAATGCACCATCAGAGTATGAGAGCTCGGGGCAAGCATCTACACTATGGGGACCTCATTTGCCAGTAAAAATATGATAATTGGTTCTTTACCCTTCTATCTGGCAACAAAACTGACACCTTTTTGCAAGGAGTCATGTTTGCATAGACCGCAATACCTGCAGTCATAAATACAAACAAAAGACATAACTCTGATGATGTGCACTGTCCTTGAAGTTATGTCTTTTGTTTGTATTTATGACTGCAGGTATTGCGGTCTATGCAAACATGACTCCTTGCAAAAAAGGTGTCAGTTTTGTTGCCAGATAGAAGGGTAAAGAACCAATTATCATATTTTTACTGGCAAATGAGGTCCCCATAGTGTAGATGCTTGCCCCGAGCTCTCATACTCTGATGGTGCATTGTCCTTGAGTTGTGCGCCTTTTGGCGTCATCTGGTCCAACCCATATGAGACTAGGCTCGAAGGAAAGCTGTCTCGGGTGTGGACCAATCAACTTCAAGGACAGTGCACATCATCAGAGTTATGTCTTTTGTTTGTATTTATGACTGCAGGTATTGCGGTCTATGCAAACATGACTCCTTGCAAAAAGGTGTCAGTTTTGTTGCCAGATAGAAGGGTAAAGAACCAATTATCATATTTTTACTGGCAAATGAGGTCCCCATAGTGTAGATGCTTGCCCCGAGCTCTCATACTCTGATGGTGCATTGTCCTTGAGTTGTGCGCCTTTTGGCGTCATCTGGTCCAACCCATATGAGACTAGGCTCGAAGGAAAGCTGTCTCGGGTGTGGACCAATCAACTTCAAGGACAGTGCACATCATCAGAGTTATGTCTTTTGTTTGTATTTATGACTGCAGGTATTGCGGTCTATGCAAACATGACTCCTTGCAAAAAGGTGTCAGTTTTGTTGCCAGATAGAAGGGTAAAGAACCAATTATCATATTTTTACTGGCAAATGAGGTCCCCATAGTGTAGATGCTTGCCCCGAGCTCTCATACTCTGATGGTGCATTGTCCTTGAGTTGTGCGCCTTTTGGCGTCATCTGGTCCAACCCATATGAGACTAGGCTCGAAGGAAAGCTGTCTCGGGTGTGGACCAATCAACTTCAAGGACAGTGCACATCATCAGAGTTATGTCTTTTGTTTGTATTTATGACTGCAGGTATTGCGGTCTATGCAAACATGACTCCTTGCAAAAAGGTGTCAGTTTTGTTGCCAGATAGAAGGGTAAAGAACCAATTATCATACTAGATTTGTGTTTCTATTTCATTTATACCTGATGACGATTGCTTGTGTTGCAATCGAAACGTCGTATGCTAGTATTTAATTTATTATTTTCTCTTTATACGTGACTTTACCGAAAGAACCAAAGAGTAAGGTCAGCGCCGGCAAAGAGTACGCAGTGACAATAGTGCAAGAGGACGCTGCTGCAATCTGCAATCAATGAAGCCGCTTCCTGGCTCGGCGCAGACGCACAAACTAAACGAGTAATAAAATACGAGCAGAGCACGTGGCAGAGCGGTGCCGCGTCATAGTGACCAGGCGGAACTGAACTTTACCGGATCAGTACCAGTCAGGTACCGGCCCAGCGTCAGCCCTTGGGTCTGTGTCCGAGTGCTGGCCCCCCTATCCCCTCCCCCCTCCTCTGTGGCCGTTGGGGCTGTGGGTATGGAAGTGACATTGAATAAGTATAACCCGTAAAAACAAAGTTTTTCACTCTAAATCCTTTATATGCGTGGCGGCTAGAGTCCTTTCGTTCCTCTGGCTTGAGATGGCTGCCACCTATGGGTCAGATGATTGTCTGCCAGTATTAAACAATTGGTAATTAAATATTTAATTTGTTTTCCCTAAACAGTGTAAAATTTTGGAAAAAAAATTTCACGAACATTAATTGTCTCGCACAACGAGTCTGTGTGCAAAATGTCAGCTCGATTGGATCACGGGAAATGGGTTAAAAAACGACCGAAAGGTTTGCACGGTCGTAAGCAAGCAAGCAAGCACGCAAGCAAGCAAGCAAGCGAACTTAATATAAAGGATTTAAAAATAAAGTGGTTTTATTGATATTTTAACGCAGGCATGGATTAGTTGAGAATAGAGCAGAAGTTGTATATCAGCACACCCCTTTGGAGCGAGTCTGCTTATATCTGAAGTAGTTTGTCAGTATCAGAACATGCTCTTAGTCTTACCAGTGTAACGTAATGATGCATTGCTTATATAAGAACTTTGCTTATTTACGGGTCGTTTTATCCACTTTTTTGTGTATTTTAAGTTAAATCTGTAATTTTTGTAATTTTCCACTTTTGTATATTAATATTTAGAAACATGCATTTAGAGTATTTGGCTGCTATCAATTTCCACATGATAAGCCACTTCGTTGAGCTATCATTTGTGGCCAGATTACTTCTGAAATTGAGCGAAATAGCTCAGTGGGCTTTACTTGGTAAAAAAGAAAATTGTTTATAGTTTTAAATAGTTTATAACATGTACAACGCTCTCATTGCTGTTCACTTTTATCGACAGATAGTTCGATGGGTGGCCTTTACAACCAGTTAAGAGCCCATTCGGATAGAGCATTGGTGCACTGGGTAATGCACTGCACTCTTTATCCTCGTCACCCTCCTGGTTCCTGGCTATGGCTAACGTCAGTGGCAAGTGATGCGTGAAGAAGTTCTCGGGAGCCCTACTTCACAAACCCTCATTGACCAGCGTGGTGAAGTATGGTTAAATAACTCTCATGACCGACAGGGTCTGGGGAAGCATTCATCAGGCAGTGAATTGACAAAAGGCTGTTAATGATTAATGTTATAATATTTGAGACAAAGTAGCCTATTTTTAATGAAAGTTATTTGAACAGCATTGTTCATATGATTTTATATTGCAGTTACAATAATAAGGCCCACTGAGCTATATAGCTCAGTGGGCCTTACCTGGTAAAATAAAAATTGTTCATAGTTTATAGAGTTGCCATGGGAACACAGTCTCTGGGTCCACGTCCAGTTCTAGAACCGAGGCAGCACGCTTAACAGTGGTGGTGAACCCAGAGCACATCACAGTGGCACAACGGGGGGGGGGGGGGTGGGGGGGAGAACTCACGTAGCCACAGGCGCGGCAGTGGTGACGACGGCGCGTGATGGGGTGGAAGAGTTCCCCACAGCGCATGCACATGGTCACGTTGGCGTCGCGAATCCACACGGGAGCCCGCTTACCCAGCTGGCCGACCTGCAGACAAAGATACACAATGGCAAAGCTCCTTCGAGTACCCCACGCAGAATGCTGGAGCGTGTGCTAGGAGTGAGCTCATATTCAGCCCAGCACAGCAAGGAAAACCGAAATAACCATGCTTATTTATTGTTGAAAATAGTAACCCTCACGACCGGTGCAATGCGATATAAACAAGTCGAGTACAAAAAAATAGCACAACGGCATTTTATTCTGAACACTTTTCTTCCACTTCTCATACCTCATTCTTAATTATAAATGACAACTAAACAAACACAATATTTGACATTAACACAATAGTGTAAAAGCAGAGTAGGCTGATGTTTCAGCCAATGGTCCGCCTTCAGAGCAGAGAGCAACGACAGTTACATTTTAAAATGACTACTTGAATGACAAACCGGTAGGTCATCCTCGTGTGTGCTGTCCTTCCTGAAGCAATTGAATGTTTCCAGCTTTTCATTGTAAGTCACGATGGCTTTCTCGATGGCCTGGCAGTGCACAAGAGTGACAACAGGTGTCAGTGATCAACAGGTCGTGCAGGCCCGCAATATCCATCCGAGTGCAATTTCCTGCTCTGCATTCTTAAACATCATCATCAGGTGTGGATTTCATACCTGATGATGATTGCTTGTGTTGCAGTCGAAACGTCGTGAGAATTTTATTGTTTAATATTTTTATTATTTTATTGTTTCCCTTCTACGTGACTTTACCGAAAGAACCAAGAAATTGATCTCATTGTTCATGTAAAACAATCTCATTCGTGTAATGAAGATTGAAAAATACATGTTTCAAAATATATGAAGAATAAGATGTCATCATATAAAAATACTGCAGAAGTAAATGCACACAGCCTCGATATGACCCTTATCCGTCTTTGACCAAGAGACGAGGGCTATTTTGAGACACATATCAGTGACATGATTTTTGCAAATATACCGCATGATTAAAGAGCTACTGAACATAATCAGTAATTGAGGAGGCGGGGCAGTGGCATAGTGGTGAGCACACTGTGCTAGCAACCCGGAGACCTTAGTTCGATTCTACGGCTAACATCGGTTGCGGCTTAAATCGCAACCAGTCTTGGGCCCCCATTTTACCGACCCGCACTCACCGGCATGGTGAAGTATGGTTAAACAACTCCATGACTGACAAGGAATCGAGAATATTTTTTCCAGCAGTTGACCAACAACTGAAAATCAACGAGGGTTCAATAGTTAAAATATTTTTAGATACCTCAATCCATTCATGTTTTTCTTTCTCGCTCCTGTGAAGCAAAAACATGAAGTAATGATTTCACATTCCGGCCTGCATTCCAAACATTGCATGCTGACTATCAGTGGCATGATGTCATGGTGGTATGGCCAAACAAAAGTTCATCTACAATAGCACAGAGGGTGTATCTCTTAATCATTATCCATCTCTTTACACACACATTGTTGTGACCAATGTACCTGGAATGTACCCGATATCTTCAGATCTCTGAAACTATGCAAGATCCAGCCTGCATAGCATAGCCCTTGCATGAGCAACCACGATGCACATAGCAAGCGTTACAGGCTGACGGACTGCGTTCTCAGCAGAGGACAGTGAAAATCAATTGTTGCACTGCACTCTGCTTCAAAGTCTGTTGCCCACCTTCACCAAACCCCACAACCGACCAGCGTATTGAAGTATGGTCAAATAACCCCCAAGACCCGCACGGCGTGGATTGACAAAAGTGCCGTGCGTGTCTTTAGTCTCCATCGAGATCGACAGTCCCTGCCAATATCTCCGGGAGCGTGCACGTGCAATGCACCGAGAGTGGACCACACTGAACACACCTCGCCCGAAGCTCCAGGGCCCTCTGCGTGCCGCACACTTGGAATACGGGGACCGCCTCATGCCGTTTTATGTCGGTGACCTGCGGGCGACACATCGACACCGGCCTTGAATGCATGATGAGGGCTCGGGGAGGGTGGAGGTGCCGGTAGCTGCATTCAATCGTGTTCTATTATATGTACGGTCCCACTCATTAAACATACAGTGCTTGCCACAAATGAACCACAATACCTTCCTGATCTCATCAAGAAGGATAAAACATCAAGCGGAGCTGCGGTCATCCTCACAGCGGCTTTTGGCTGGCCATCGAACAAAGATGGTCACTGCATTGCGAACTTTCTGCGGCCGTTTAGAGTGCTCTTCCTTTTGATATTAGGAATCTGCTGGAGTAATGCGCTTTTAAACCGAGATTGAAACCGCGGTTATAAATAAATTCGTTTTATGTTTAGTTTGTTGTCCTTCCCCTGCACCCCCAATTAGCACGGTTGGCTACGTACAGTGGGAAAGAAGTTTAACATACATACATACGATCTTGTGCAGGGGTTAATTTGTCACTCGTCAGTTTCTTCCAGGTCGCTGTGATCCATGCGAATGGTATGACAAATAGTGTCCAATCAACTTAGCCTCATAGTGTTTCACTTGTGACCAATGCTGTGTTTCCAAGATCATAGCGAAGGGTTCTGGCTCGATTTGCAAATCGAGCTCGCAGGCAAAGCCCCAGTTCGCATGGCAACCTTGCTGGGCTGACCCCACACCAAGGGGGCCCGGCAGGTTTCTTTAATGGTGTAGCCGCATGCTATTACCTGGGCTGGGCTGCTTTCGAAACCAGTGATGACATCACAGGGTCAACACCTTCACATAGTTCAACTTCAGGATCAGGTTTTTTTATTTAAAAAAGCCTCATGAAAAACTACTAAAAAATAACACATTTTGGCTTGAATTATCACAACCTAGCATTTAAAAAAATCACTGTCCTCTTGCTGGAGGGTAGGGAGAGGAGTGCAATGGGGCAGGAAGAGTTAGTGTGATGCAGTGTTGGGACATCGACCCACACTGTGCTGTTAATCCTGGAACACAAGTCGGTTGTTCCTAGGCCACCAAACCCATTTCTACGATCATTGGAACCTTGGAGGCTTGAGCCAGTAAGTGCCAGCATTGTGCTGTGACAGCACATCTGGTCTTCAAATGGAAGGCCTGGGTTTGATTCGTGTGGTTGGGTGTATGTCTGTGTGCCAAGGAGCAAAGGATTAAACTGAACATATACCTTCATGCCCATGACATCAATCCTGGAGCGGACGCTGAATTTCTGTCCCATCAGCCTGATCTTGGGTGCGCAGTACAGCAGCATGCTATTGAACTGCAAAACAGACAGCACCATCAGGATGAGCTGCAGCATCAGCAGGGTGCAGACGGATTGAGCCGTGTATTGGTCATCTCAGTAACGTAACATCAGATCGATCACGAGACATACATTTACAGACGATGCAATTTCCTGCTTTGTTGTGTAACAATTCACCCCTCTCCCCCCTTGCAATTAAATGAATTGTTGCGATTCAGGGTCCCAAATCAATTAACCTTTATTTATTCCACTGCAGTCGATATAGGGACCATTAGCAGCTGCAGAGGTCCCGTGAACCCATTACATACCACGTATACAACTCAAACGCATATTATTAGACATGTTAATTAACATACGAGCGGACATACTTAAGAGCTGGCTGGCTCACTCGGGGATTGGAGCAGTGAACGGGTGTAAATTAATATTAGTCGTTCCCCGAATATTCAGTGCTGGGGAAACGCAGACACATTCCCTGATAGTGGCACTGCTGAGATCCTGGGATTGAACCCATATCACAGCCACGCACGATGATTTACGAGGTTTAGGGTTGTAGGCATCACATTAGTTTTGGTCCATTACATGCACGCTGAGCAACGATTTCACAAGTGACTTTGAAACATCGGCTTAAGATTAAGGTTTGTTTTTTCGTTGAAAATACCTCAATATAGACGGATATGTTAAGAAAGCTTCCTAACCATTTACGATTCGAGATGTAATGACGAGTGACGCGTGATTTTTTTTTATTCAATGGTGATGTTGTTACTTAGCAGGGGCACCTTACCAAGAACAGGTACCTCTCTTGCTGCGCTCCGTTGCGGGCAGACAGCTTGAGAATGGGGCCCTCTTTAAGCAGCTCATTGCTGGGGTTAACGATGTCCACCTCTCCGTCCAGCTTCTCGTAGATGTCCAGCAGTATCTTCACTTTTTCCTGGAACAAAACGGTCTTTGTCACAGTGGGAATTTAGCCAAAATAAAGTACAAAACCAAATTTCACATGATGTTTTTTAAAAATCTATTCATTGGTGACCAGCCTTGGTTACCATAAAACTCGCTACCCTCGAGAATGGAGTGTTATCACAAGTGGCTGAACAATTCAGATTTTCGTGATGCTGGCTCATCACTCTGACCCATAAACCCCCTGGTCACCCCACAGTGAAATTCTTAATAGACTATCAGAGCATCACTTGTGTATCAGAGCAAACCTTCTGTCAGAGAATTACTTTTTGGGGTTGAGAATGTGAGTTGCACACCACCTACCATCTTGCGGATGGCAGCGTTTGAGTGATTGGCTGCAGTCGAGATGATGTCGAGGGACTCTGGGCAGACAAAGCACAAATTACAATTTGTATTTACACAATGTCTACATGCAAAGATAGCATCTATAGCTGCTATTTTTATTTTAGCAGGTAAGGCCCACTGAGCTACATAGCTCTTTTTCACAAGTGACCTGGCCACACATGATATAGCTCGATGAAGTGGCTTATCATGTGCAGATTTAGAGCAACCAATTACTTTAAAGGCACGTTTCTAAATGTGGCGGGGAAAACCGGAAAACCTGGAGAAAAATACACGCGACCACGGGGAGAACGTGCAAACTGCAAATATAAAGGTGTCAGGGCCGGGATCGAACCCACGACTTGCTGGGTACCAGGTGAGTTCATTCACCACCGCGGCACCATCACAAGGTGCCCATAGTGTTCAGCAGGTAAACCAGCAGGTTAGTGTAGAATGGTATGCACTGGACATCACAGGTACAGCCAGTCTGAAATAATAATCTGCAGATGTAGAATATTAAGCATGAGCTGCATCATTAGATCTGGCAATTCGCAAATCCCTCCAGAAGGCCTCTATCCCAATTACAGTCGCGTATTCCACGATCACTAAACATGACTCGATGACACTGAATGCGCCTAATCTTGTCAACTTTGGGAAGCTAAGCAGATTTTAAGCCTGTTCAGTATTTGGATGGGTTTCTGCATGGGAATTCCAGGTGTTGTAGGCTTAGGCTGCAAGGTGGCCAGATGGTAGTACAACAATAATGTCTTCAGTGTAATTATGCAGAGATTTGAGTGTTACTCCCTTATATGTGTGGGTTTATATCCTAACTACTCTGGTTTGCTACCACGTGCCATATTGTATTATGCAAACATCCCCAAGCAAGACCCTCGTGAAAAAGAGTCTTGATATTTAGTGAGGCTTTTATAGGTGAATACAAGGTACATTCTTTTTAGATATTTATTTGTGCAACGTGCATTCTTTTCTTCTGTATACACATTCAATTCCAATTGCCACACAATTACAATTTACCTATGTAGGGTGAAGAAGTAAATTGGGTCGGTTTTTATTGCCTCTTAAAGTAATGAATATACTTATCCACGTTGGTGGTGAGATGCATGCTGAGTGACTGAGTAAGGAGCAGCTAATAATTAAACCAGCACAATCAGAAAAATATTAGTTTTTTCAAGTGCATGGTCAATCCATGCACATGTAACCGAGAGTTAACTATACTATTTTTGTCACGAACCCATGGCGTTCATCATGCTGAGAGCGCTTCATGAACGTGACCCTATTACACCTGTTTACTCAGGAAAGCCTCACTCAGTCTCAAGACTATTTTGCAGGAGGGTCCTACCAAATGTTTTTTACAGTCGGGGACAATATCGCTGCGTGTAATCCCAATTCAGTCATTTGCAGGTAATTTTTCACGTTGGAATGTCTGGACAATACCAGTTAAATAAAAACGTAACTAAGGGAAGAAACCGGAGCGCCCGGAGGAACCCCATGCAGAACAAGGGGAGAACATAGACACAGAAAGGCAACCGAGTCGAGAATCCAACCCAGGCGCTGCTTGCTGTGGAGGAACAAGTGTCACCACTGTGCCACCACTCTACCACCCGCTGATGGGGGCTAAGTCGAGTCACACGAGCCGGGGGGGGGGGGGGAGGGGCTCGTACTCTGGGCATCCCCGCGGTCGGGCGAGTCGAGTGGCAGCCTGCGCAGGTAGTCCTTGAGTAGCAGCTCGTATCGTGGGATCCTCTGCACGGGCTCCAGCATGTGGTGCTGCAGACTCAGGCAGCCACTCTCTTTCTGCATCTAAACGCGCATGCAGGTGGGGTATAAAAGAAGCAGCAGCAGCAGCACATGGCACACACAGACAAATATCCCCCGTGTAGCCTTTAGCAGACTGTTGGGGTAAGTGTTGTTTGCGAGCACCTATGAAGAGCGGCAAGGGATACTAGGGTAAGGGTGGCCGACACCACATGCAGAGGCATGTATCTCCCCAGTGCTGATGTTTACACACTGCACCAGGTACTTATTTAAGGCTGAGTCGATCTAGGGGAGGCCCTGGACCGGTTCAGATAATCATCAACAATGTTGGCTGCGAGCGGGAATTGAACTCGGGTCGCCGGCTTAATAGCGTAGTGCACGAACCGCTGCGCCCCCGGCTCCCCACACAGGCATGCACACGCGTGTACAGCGGGATGAGCACATGTAACCACATGTCAATTCCGATTTAAAGCTTTCGTGACTGCAGGGATTCGTCTTCTTGGTTCTTTCGGTAAAGTCAAGTAGAAGAGAAATAATAAAATAATAAATATTTAACATAATAAAATACAATTCTCACGACGTTTCGGCCACAACGCAAGCAGGCGTCCTCAGGTGAAGAGGACGGCTGCTTGCGTTGTGGCCGAAACGTCGTGAGAATTGTATTTTATTATGTTTTATTTTTATTATTTCTCTTCTACTTGACTTTACCGAAAGAACCAATAAGACATGTCGATTCATCGGTCATAACGCTCATAATTAGGCATTGACTTGTCTGTCAATCCAATACTCATGACTTATGTGTACAATATGTACACTGGGTGGAGCCGTGACGCAGTTGTTAAGGCACTGCACTATGGCCTAAGATACCTGATTATAATTCCCAGCTATGGCCAACATCAGTCGTGCGCGGTATCTGAACCACTCGTGGGTCCCTCCCTTCAAAAAGAAATACAAAGCAGCGTGGTGAAATGTGGTCAGAGAGTCCCCATGGCCGCTATGACGTGAGCAGGCCTTCATTCAGCAGTGCAATGGCTAGTGGCTTCAAAAGGGAAATGTCAGGATATCTGTTGAACTTCTTTCGCACCATGGGGACCTCATTTGCCAGTAAAAATATGATAATTGGTTCTTTACCCTTCTATCTGGCAACAAAACTGACACCTTTTTGCAAGGAGTCATGTTTGCATAGACCGCAATACCTGCAGTCATAATACAAACAAGGAAAGCTGTCTCGGGTGTGGACCAATCAACTTCAAGGACAGTGCACATTATCAGAGTTATGTTCTTTTGTTTGTATTATGACTGCAGGTATTGCGGTCTATGCAAACATGACTCCTTGCAAAAAGGTGTCAGTTTTGTTGCCAGATAGAAGGGTAAAGAACCAATTATCTTCTTTCGCACCGTCCCGTAGTCAACTGTGCTAATTGGCGGTGCTAATCATATGGTAACGTTTCATTTAGGCAAATGGAGTGGAGCAAACTTGCACACATGAGAAGAACAAACTTAGAAGCAATACCAAGAAAACAGGAACAAATGAGATGAACACGAATTGATCGTTGAATATAATCGCATTCCCAAATGATGACAATTTATTGAATAGCTGGAAGAGGTAACATTTGTACATATCCAAGAATGATGCATCTCAGGGGAACCTTTTTGTGATGTTGCCGACGTGTTTAGATCCTGACCAACTCTTCTTGTTTGGCCACTCGTGTTTCAATACGATTACAGCAATTTATTTTGAAGTGGATGGAGGATAATTGAAAGAGGGAGCAAAGCCCGACCGTTTCAATCTGTCCCATATCGTCAAAGTAATTTTATCGCCATCATTTATAACACACAACAATATCCCACATTCTTTGAGGCTTTCGGTAAAATCACGTAGATAGGTTCAAAGAAAATAACAAAAAACTACGACGTTTCGATCGCAACACGAGCTGTCGTCATCAGGCAAAGGAGTTAGCCTCTGAAGGCAACATGTTTGTAAAGGTTTTGGGATGGGTGTGGCCCAAGTTGTATCAGCGGCAACCAGGGTCATAGGCAGTGCACCACTGCCAATGCAGCAACAATGACAATGCCACACTGATACAACTTGGGCCACGCCAATTCCATTACCTTTACAAACATGTTGCCTTCAGAGGCTAACTGCTTTGCCTGATGACGACCGCGTGTGTTTTGCGATCGAAACGTCGTAGTGTTTTGTTATTTTCTTTGAACCTATCTACGTGACTTTACCGAAAGACCCAAAGAATATGAATTCCTGCAGTCACGAAAGCTTTAAGTCAAGATTTACACAATAGCCCCTTATTGATTTACACATTATTTAGGTGATGCAGCTGGATTGTCAGTGATGCACAAGCGCAATCAACGACAAAAAACAACATATTTGTTTATTACACTGCCTTAAAAGGGGTAAATATATATAAACTGGCCTTTTGCCCGTCCAAGGACGGGTGTATTTCAGTAAATCTGAAACTTGCAAGCGAAAATCAGACCGCGACGTGATATTTACTGCATCCATTCATGTGCAATTTGTAAGGGCGCGGTGACACAGACCTACTTAATTTTAAGGTGATAATCCCGTGTTCATCATGACGTCCTTTTCAACTTCTATGTCTCAACAGCGTCACGGAGATCGCGTGACGTGAGGGTTCTGCCTTTGTAGTGACGGTTGTAAGTTGACGCCGAGAAGGGGGGAGGAGGCGCCTCGCCCCCCCCCCATGTGGAGTGACATCCCCCGCTAATTATTATGAATGGCGGCGGTCCATTTGGAAGACGTCACCTCTTCATGATTATTAATGAGGGGGGCTGTTTGATGTGGAGTGACGTCACCTGCTCATGATTATTAATGAGGGGGGGGTGCAACATGTGGAGGACATCACCTGTTCATGATTATTAATGAGGGGGGCTGGCCGACGTGGAGTGACATCACGCGCGGGACAGACATTCTTGGCTCATTATAGTAGTAAATATATAATAGGCAAAGTTTCAGACATCGGCCCTCCTTAATAGCACGTGAAGAAGGACCATTGCCCAAAAAGTCACCTAATAAAGGTATGTTTTCTTTTTTAAGGCAGTGTTATTGACGAATGCGTTGCTTTTTAACCATCAGTGGATTACAAATGATCTACCGCGATCGCAACTAAACTCGGCAATGCAACACAAGCAAGATGGACGCTGCTACGTTTGGCCTTCCGAGCGTGGCTCACATTCATCGGCTACCATCCCCAAGCGCAAACCGGCCTCCGTCGAGCAGCTCGTGAGCATCGTGCGACGGGCACGTGGTGCACGCGGTGCACCCACCTGCACTTCGGCGATGATTTTCTTGAATTGCGGCGAGCGCTGCGACCAGGTGTCGACGAGCTCCATGGCGCGGTCGAAGCACTTGACGTACTCGCCGTACATCATGAGGAAAGGCGCCAACTTCTGCAGGATGTCTCCTATCCTGGGCGTCTCTTCCCTGCGTTGCCACGTGGCCAAACAACAAACCAGACCGTGCACTTTATGGCAATGCGGCTCTGTGGGTGTTGAGCGCAGAGGCGGTGCGACTGAATTGGAATCTACAGGCTGGGCTATGGACGGAGGAGCCCCACTTTTACTCCTTGCACCAGGGCTCATGCCAACCATTCTTAGCCACTGAAATAATGTCACCACATGTCACTATTTCACCAATATAGCCAGAGCCATCATATTGTTAATAGGATGACAAGTAGGAATAGTACAATGATGAGCAATGCAACAATACATTGCAAAATCCTCCTCCACACGATATAGCCAATGCATAAAGTTACCAGAATTGTGGCAAACTGCCCGACAATGCTGGTTGTAACTATAAGCGAAACGTCGGTAACCCAATCGCTAAATGTCGTGAGATCACTCTCCAAAAACACACCGGAGTGCTGAAGCAGCGATACATTGCTACGTTTGACTCCGTGGCAACTTTATTAACTGGCCGTGTCGGGTGGAGGAGGGTTCACGATACACATTTTACTAACGCGATTCGACTCAATTTTTTTTTTTTTTTTTTTTTTTTTTTATTTGATGCAAGTCCAGAGTCCTTTGCTCTTTACCGACTGAAACAAACTCGCCACAGACGAATCGCCGCGCGGGGCCCCACCGCCCGGTGCCCACCAAGAAGGGGGTAAGCCCTCGAGGGTGCGGCACGCACACTTTGCGCTCACCATGCCTCCATGCGGCTTTCAAGCTGCGGCAGCAAGAACTGCTCGTGAAACAGGTGGATGGAGGAGATGTTCGAGAAGATGTGGTTGATGGTCTCGACCGGAAACGAGCCTCGGTTGGCCTCCTCCAACAGGCGAGCGTAGAACGCCTATTCCGATGATCACACCCAGAGAAAACAAAAGCCACTACAAATGATTTTCCCGCCTCTTCTGCAAAGATATCCAATAAAGACAAATGGTGGAGTGTAAAGGCATCACATCTAAGGTACAAAAAAGTAGGACATACCCTGGGAAAAAAACATCTCACAAGAGGTGAGAACTACCACTTACATGCATTTTACTTAAGTGGCGCATTGTTACGCCACACACGATAAACCAGGACGTGCAAGTTGCCCCCAAAAGAGGACAATCCTTATACAACCAAGGATGGGTGGCGAACCGTACTGATCTCACACATGCTGCACCTTGTCTAGAAGCTGCAGGCGTTGCACGTAGTTGCGCTCGGTGTTCAGGAGCTCAGTGGCGATGAAGAAAAGCTTTCTGCTCCGAGCTCGTCTGGATTGACAGTGGCAGAAATACAAGGGAGAGAACACGGTATTAACACTGTAGAAAGAAGCACTTCCTTGTTGGCTGGAAGTCTCATCGTGCAAATGCTTACCCCGAGCTCTCAATACTCTGATAGTGCACTGTTTTTGAGTTGTACGCCTTTTGGCGTAATCTGGCCCAACACCAATGGAGACTAGGCTCTAAGAAAAGCTGTCTCGGGTGTGGACCAATCAACTTCAAGGACAGTGCATATCATTACTATTATCAGAGTTGTTTCTTTTTGTTTGCATTTTGACTGCTTGTGTTGCAGTTATTGCAACAATGATGCCTTGTATAAAGGTGTCAGTTTTGTACCAGTTTAAAGGGTATAAACCTACTAAAAAAAAACTTCTTCATTAAATCAAAAATATGAAGATGGTTTCTAGAAGTCAATATGAGAATAGTCAAGAATTGGATGTAAATGGGTACACTGTGTCTGGGTTGGAGGGGTGGTACAGTGATTATCATGCTGCACTATGAGCCTGGTGAACTGAGTTAAATTGCTGGCCAGAGTGAATGTCAGTGGTGAGTGATATTTGAACTGGTCCTAAGCTGCCCCCCTTCACCAACCTGCAATGACCAGTATGGTGACGTATGAGCACGATGAAAAGATATGAGGTCTTATTTAACAATGGAATGAACATAGATTGTAACTTGTTATTGTGTGTGTTTGTAGCCAGCAGTAAGTGCCAGTGTAGAAATAATAATGGAGTGTTTGTTTGTGTAACTGGTCACCTTTTCTGTATCTTTGGATTCGTGGTCATGTGCAGTGGCGCTGTTTCTCTCTCCCTCTGACCCCAAGCAGTCCTCTCCATCCTCCCTCTCTTCCTGATCTGAGGGTGACATCAGCTGAAACCTCCCCAGGTTGCCAACTGCGGTTGCATCGTTGACCACCACATTTTCCTCCGGATACACAGGCCTTAGAAGAGGACTGTCCACCAGGTCCTCACCTGAACTCATAGGTGAGATAGTCCAGTCCAATGGCTCGCTGTTCAGCTCTTGACAGTTCTGGACAACTGCCGCAGACTCCTCCACAGGAGGTTCCCCGTGCTGTGTTGCTGGCTCAAAGTCATGCAAAGTCTTCGCAAAGCCCTTGGCTTGCCGTTTGTTTTCCAAGCCTCTGGCACCTGATGCCGGTAAACAGGCCCTATTGTCTTTGTGCGGCACTGAAGTGCCGCATCCTGCCACGTGCGTGCTTTCTTGGCCTAAGAGCCTACGCTGATCCTTGCGCTGGTCGAGAGAGTGAATTTCAACGACCCTGAAAGACACGGACCAAACACACAAACAAGTTTTTTTCACAGGTGCATTGTTTTGTGCATGCGTTAAAGCACCTAAATAGCAGCCATACTTTCAGAAGCACCCAAAGTTTGGATTGATTGAAGTCAGTAAAATTGAAAGGACAATAATTCACAGCCATTTGTCAATCCACTGTTGGATGAAGAGGCCTCAATGCACCACTGAACGCTGTGGCGAGGGCCTCAGGATCAATTCAGATATCACTCACTGCTGATGATAGCCATGGTCTGCAATCAACCTTGGGTCGCATTCATACGTGGTTGTTATTTCCTTCCATGGTTTACAATTCCCAAATTGTAAATTGTTGCATTCCCCTTTAGTGGTGCTTTGTCTGCGATACAGTATTTGTGTTCACCGATTCGTGTGTGGCACACATTCTACTCATGGTACAGTAAGTGGTGGTTGGGATTAAGTTTCAAACGGTTCTTTGTTAAGTTTCATGCTTAAAAAAAAGATTTGGTAATTACATTTCATGCTTATATAACATGTTGCCTAAGACCAAGGAACAGTAAACCTCTGCTTTGGCAGAGTTGAATGATTACAGCTGTATTTCATCCATACACAGGTGGCCTTTTGAAGGTTGTCCTATCACTCTGCACACAGTATTTATTAATTAGTTAATTCCCTTTGATTTCATCAGACGATAAACCAATAAGGCGTGTCGTCTGTATTGCAAGGGGTGACCCGGGTCAACGTATCACCACAGCTACAGTGCAGTTCGGACATAAAGAGCTATCAGGTATCAACAGGAGATGTTTAGTTTCTCATCAGCAACAGACACAAACTCTCAAAACAAGCAAAAACAAATAAACCTGTTATGATTATCTGTGCATTTGTATACGTTGCGAATTTTCTATGTTATGTTTTCATTTTACAACCTTTTGTCAATTCACTGTTGGACGATGGCCTCCGCATTTTATGCCAGTCACGGGAGGTTGTCTGACCGTACTTCACCACTCTGGTCAGTGCAGGTTGGTGAAGGTGGTGGGTGCCAGGGACTGGTTTAGATATCGCTCGCCACCGGCGCTAGACATGGCCTGGAATTCAAATCAGTCACTGGTGAGGTTTCCAGCTCTGTGGCTCAAAAAATTGGGAGATACAATGGAAAGAAGAACATCTCCCAATACCGGAAGAGGGGAGTGCTACGTGTAAACGCATTGCTTTGAGTACTGCATTACGCAAATGACAATAACCGGGACTTTTAATATCCTGGGAAAACGTACACATTTCCCAGGACATCTACATTAAAGAGAGGACAATACTGGAAAAACCAGTACAGGTGGAAATTCTTAGTGGTTGGGTTCACAACATGGTGTTCCAACTACTATAATGCAGTGATTGTTCTCAGCATGCGAGGTTTTTATTAAAAACATTTTCAGTGCAGCTCCTCAGTGACTGTAACCGGGGGGAGTTGTCAGACCCATTGAGAGGCTGCCCGGGCCTAACAGAGAGAAAACTGTGCCACGCCGCACTCACTCAGAAGTAGAGTGGCGCTTGAGGTCCTCTTCGATCTTGCCCACGAGTGCCCTCACGTTGACCCTCTTCGTAAGGCTTTGCTGCGATAGGCGCCCTGCATAAATCACCGACCCACGTCCCTTCACCACTGTTGTGCTCTCCGGCCCTATTGAAGCTGCTGTTGCTGCTGCTGCTGACGCCGATGAGGATGATGATCCAAATGCAGCTGGTGGTTTACTCCTTAATCCTTTAGTGCCCTCAGGAGCTAGCCTATGAATGCTGTCCACTGTGCAGGCATCACCAGCATTGGCGCTGCTCATTTTGTTGAGACTTCGAGCTAAACCCGCTGCGCTGCAACTGCGGTCATCCAAGCTTTTCGATGTCACTAAGCATTTGCCGGACTTCAGGCCAGAGTTGCAGCCAACCAAGCTAGGAGGCTCTGCATGAAGCATATCCACGTGCTTGTCGTCGGCATATTTCAATTTCACAGACCTCGGTTGTGTTTGCTGTGGTCCGGCGCTGTTTGGGATAGCGCCGTTGGATTTGCCTTGCCCAGTAAGTGCCGTGACACCGGCCATTGGAGATTCCGATCTCGGCGAACGAGCTTGTCGATTCCATTTGTGTCCCTTGTCCACGGCGCTCTTAGTCACAGCCGACGTGTTCACACTTGATCCTCGCCCCGACGGGGCTCCATAGCCGTTTAAAGCGCGACTGCCCACCGGAGTGGCACCTCCTATCGTCACGAAGTCGCGCCCCGTGTGAGCTGTCCTGTCGTCGGGATGCTTCCACGTGGAGGTGTCACTGGCAGTAGCTGACGGAGCGGTCGTGGCATAGCTGGACCTGAGCGGGCGAGCAGGCGACGTTGGCCCTTTGCGTGCGAGAGGGGCCTCGGAGCTAAGCCGCATGTCTCCAGGGGTGATGGTCTCAAGACTGTCATCGATTTTCTGGTCAGAACTAAGTCCGGGGGACAACTGCGAGATTTTTGCAGGGGTGCTGTGCTCTCTTGTGAACGCCGGTGAGTGGGTGTCCACTGCAGTGAAGCTTTTGCCGGACCTGGCCTCCAGCCGAACGGGGCTGTGCTGCTGGTGATGGTCTGGGGACGGAAGGAACAGCAGAACAGACAGGCAGGCAGTATGTAAAACACATATAACAACAACAGAGACAACAGACTTTTGGGGCAAGTACTGTTAGTGAACATCTATTACGGCTAGCACAGCGTATGAGGTGGTGGATTTGGCCAGTTGCCGTTGTTTCACCCTTGCTGATGGTTACACAGTGTATCAGGTCGTCATTTAAGACTGAATCGACCTCAGGGAGGCCCAAGAAATTTCAGAAAGTGCCAGTGATGTAAGCCATGGCCAGAAATTGAACTCAGGTGGCTGGGCTCATACAGCAATGCGGGAAAAACTACCAATCCCTCTATCACACGCCCAAACGCAACACAGACATTAATAAAATGGAAACACACGTGTGTGCATGTGTGTACACACATGAAAATACAGAATAGCATGGGCAGAAGTTAAACACAACTTGGAAACACACACACAAGTGTACTTAAACTCACACGTAATCAAGATGTGCTACTCAGCAGTATTATTGCAATGCTGAACGATCTGTACTAACCCATGTGCGAACGATTCATGTTATTTTACAAATTACACATTGTAGCTGGACAAGCCTTTTGTCAATCCACTGGTAAATGACAGTCTTTATAAGCAATGCAGGTCAAAAGGGGTTATTTAACCATACTTCACCACACTGGTCAGTGTGGGTTCATATACCGTAGGTGGCACGGTTACCACCTGTCTTGGTGGTGGAAGGTCAGGTGGCCAGAATATTATCTCACAATGCCAGAAAAGGTGAGGACTATGTTTGAATGCATTGTCTTTTGTGGTGTATTATGGCAAAATTGACAAAAACTGGAACTTTATATCCCAGCAAGACCAACACGTTTCCCAGGACAACTACGAAAAAACACAGGATGATCCTGGGAAGACCAGAACAGATGGTACATGTGGCATGAGGGAGCAAGGACATGGTGATACATGCAAATTATCGTTACCAGGGGCAGCACAGTGAGAGATGTAAACATAGCACTGTACGGGCTTAACAATAAATGTGATAAGTGATAACGTAAGTGATAACTTAAGTTATCACTCACGTGTTGTTTTAAGTGATAACTTAAGTGATAACGCTAACCGAAAACATAGTGACCAGGTGATTTCATAAGTATTCTTGTAAATAAAAAAGCATACAAATGGGAAAATATGAAATCAATCAAGATTTTACTTACTCTGGCAATCTTATAATTACTCATTTAACGTCTTCTCATCACCAGAAACCATCATTGTTATCAACATTGCCTATCTACTGCTGGATGAAGGCCTCCCCATGCCAATGCCGTTCCTCCCCAATTCCCCTCGCTCATAATATGAACTGGTCTCTTCCCGTGGTGGTCATACTCTTGGGTGCCGGCGTTCCCTCCTTTGGCTGATATTCCGTCATCAGTCTCCAATTAGCACGGTTGACTGTGTACGGTGCAAAAGAAGTTCAACATACATGCATACAGTCTCGACCATCTGCTATCTTCCCTTCTCGCAATAGGTCCTGCCTAAGCGCAGTTACTTCTCTGCACATCCTACACAATGTCTCAAATTTTCATGTGTTTCTTGACACGCGTGTATTTTTGTCCGTCTCCCTCTCTGCAGCTATGTAATGCACTGTAACGCCACGTGTTGTCTCCGTGGGTGCCAATCTGTTGAAATAAAGGTGGTCATAATTTTGTATTCCTATTTAATTAACAACGCTGAATGTCTTTTCTTACAGCCCTTTGTCAACCCATTGCTGGATGTACTCAAAATCACAAGTGATGTGGCACTGCACATCAATCGTGAAAACAAGTGCACAAAATAAACGTGGATTTCTGAACAATGCAGTTTGCTTCCTGGTGCACACTGTGTGCAGGAAGTAAGTGTGTTGGCTGTGCTCATTTTATTGCTGGGCAACAGTTTGGGTTATAAAGATAAGCTACATTCCAACGATCTCACCTATTTTATTTTTACAAAACCAACTTGATCTGTTCATAACAACTTCCAGTTTCCAGCTATTGAATTCAAAACATTTATATGTATCATTTGCTAAGAGATTCCAAACCGAAACTTGCCAGTGAGTATGACAAACGAGCTCATCTGTTTTGGGCCTCCAAGTGACGGGATGATTTCCCTCCACTCGATAGAACACGGCAAGCTGGAAAAACCCGTTTATTGAACGCACACACGAACATTGGATTGCCCAAACCACATTTGAAAGTTTAAATAAAAAAACACTGCGTTGCAAGTGGTTACATTTACACACCCTCTCTCTGAAACTGT